CCCGAGCAGGGGGAAGCGGCACCGTGGTCTCCGTGGGGAGGGGTCTGATACAGCCCCCTGGCCATGCACTCCTCTTCGCTTTCTGACGGAAACTTTCTTTCCCCTGGGAAATCCACCTGATTGTACAAACGAAGCCACACGCCCCCATGAGCGAGGGATGCGCTCCTTCCCCCTTGGGACAGAGGTGGTCGCCGCCCGCAGACGGGGCTACAAGCAGCTCTGTTTCAGCACTGTCTGGTCCTCTCTGCATGGGAGGGTCTGTGTGGGCTTTTCACAGCTGCTTCGGAGAAGCGGGTTGTGCGGACGCCCCACAGCGGCACTGAACAGTTGGCGTGGCAGGACTCGGGGCCTCCATGGTAGTTACGCCGGCGCCTGCATTTCTGCACATTTGGGCTCAAATCCTGGGTCAGAGGTTGGCACAGCTCACCCTCTGATGGCTCTCGCTAGACGTCCCATCTTTCCCCGCAAGCGGTTGGCAGTGGGCGGAACCTCTGCTGGAGTCCGGCCCTGGTTTGGCCCTTCCCGCCGTCCCCCCAGCCTTGCCGCCTGTGGCCAGCAGCCCAGCTCCGCCCGCCACAGAGAGGCTTGAGGACGGGGAAACCTAGAAGGGGCAGGTGGGTAAGCTGACAGCCGTCCCTCGTGCGTCCAGCACACTCGCCCCCAGCTGCCACCCAGCCCGTGCTCCCGCACCTCCCCCTCTCAGGTGACCGAGGACGCCCCAACTCCCTCCCTCCTCCAATCCGTCTGCCCAACCCAGCCGTCCCTACCAAACAACTTCCATGCTTAGTGACTTCAAAAAGTAAGGAGAGGGGAAAAGAGAAAGGACGAGTTTCACTAATGATGGTGTCATGTCGAAAGACCACAAGCCACAAGTGAGCCAGGCAGGTCCCCACTGTCCAAAATCTGTGGCATTTGTGCCTCAAATGAATAACGATAGTGAAGGGTTACAATAATCTGCTGAATAAGGAACCCCCAAGTCCATCCTGATGGGAAGGTGGGCCGGTGGGAGGAGGGCAGCTCCTCGTGACGAGGGAATGCCGGCCCACAAACCCAGGATGGATGAGGGATGAGGGATGAAAAGCGCCCACTCGCCAAAGGTAATCAGTGATCCTCAGGACGGAGTCAGGCAGGGGTCCAGGAAGCTGAAACTGAGTGGCTGAAACTTTGGGGGGTTGGGGGTGGTGAAAGAAAGGAGAAATCCAATAGACACCCCCGAACCAAGTAATCAAGTTAACTTTGCCAGTAACGAGATAAACTACAGTTAAGTTAAAGTCGCTGCTAAGATGCGGCGAGAAGTGAGCGTCTGTGAGCTATTTTTGCCAGAACCGCGTAATGTGAGCCTGTTCGTGAGCCGGTGCGCGAGCCGGGCTAGGAATTCCACAAAGTAACAAGCCTGGACGCTTCAGAAACGTCAAAGTCCTAAATTACCAAGGAGGGCTGGGAGAGTGTTCTAGAAGAAAGGCTGGGGGATGGGGGGGTGGGGGGGATGGGGCCGCGGAATGCAATGCGGATCTCGGATGGTCTCGGCCATAAAGACATTGCTGAGACAATGGACGGTCTCCTAAGGCCTTAGGTTGACAAACAGCGTTGCTCTGATGTTGTTTTCTTGACGCGAATAATAGTGCTGTTGTCACGTAAGAGAATTCTCGTTTTTAGGAAATACACGCTCAGTGTTTGGGGGTTAAGGGAATCAACTTCTACTTATTCTTAAATGGTTCAGGAAAAATTAAGGAGAAAGAGGATAAAACAAAGACAGTACACGGTTAACGTCGAGGGGTTCGGGATGAAGACTACCCAGTAACGCTCTGCACCGTTCTTGCCAACGGTTTGTGTTTGAAATCATGTTCCCCGATTTTAAAACCTTAGTGACTTAAGGGGCGTCTGGGTGGCTCAGTTGGTTAAGCGTCTGACTCTTGGTTTCGGCTCAGGTCAAGATCTCAGGTCATGGGATCAAGCCCCTCTGTGCTGGGCATGGAGCCCGCTTAAGATTCTCTCTCCCTCTGCCCCTCCCCCCATATAAATAAATAAATCTTACCAAAAAAACCCACCTTACTGAGTTAGAGTGACGACGGTCACCACCTTGCTCACGGGTCTGCGCCCTGGGCCGCCGTGTGTCTCTGCCCCCCACGGCGTCAGGGGTCACAGCGTCGCAGACTCGGCGGGTTCCAGGAGCCGCCATCCCAGGGACAGCGCGGAGGCGGCGGGCACAGTGTCCTGGCTGCTATGCTCTGGGGGCCGAGCACCCACGGGCGCCGGCTCCGGAGGGACGCAGTGGAGACCCCACCTCTCGCCGTCGGCGGTCTCACACAGCTTTGTGTCGAAACTACCAGGTGCCATTCAAGCAGTAACCAGGTGAGGCTGGGGAAACGTGAATCCGCGCCGGATTGCAGCAATCGTTTTACAAAGAACATGTATGTCAAACGCCCCGTTCTGTACCTTAAATGCTTACGACTGTTGTCAATTACACATCCGTGAAGCTGGAAAAAGATCATTTTTTTTCTGGCTACAGGGAAAAACCCCCCACTACGCATCATCCACCCGCTCTTTTCTCAATAACTTCATTGAGATACAGACCCTAACGTTTGCCATTTCAAAGTATACGATTCTGCCTCCAGCACCGCCATCAGACGCGTTTATCACCGCAAGAGAAATCCGGAGCCCGCGGAGCGGTGCCCCTCCCCCACCCCCAGCACCACCCATCTGCTTTCCGCCTCTGTGGATTTGTTCTAGCATCTCCTATCCACGGAACCGGACAACACGTGGTCTTTTGTGTCTGGCTTCTCCCAGCATGTTGGCGAGGCTCACCCGTGTCCTGGCGTGGATCTGTGCTTCCCTCCTTTTCACGGTTGAATAATACTCCACGGTGTGGACAGAGCACATTTTGGCTCCATTCATCTGTTGACGGACATTGGTCTCCACCTCTTGGTGTTGGTGAACGCGCTGCGTCGAACACGGGTGAGCAGGTGTGTATCTGAGCGCTGTCTCTCGGTTCTCTGGGGCCTGCGCTCCGGACTGTACCTGCGGGGTCCTGTGGCTGCTCTGTTCACACGTGACCACAGCCCACTTCCCACCAGCACCACGTCCTTACCAGCACTTGTTAGCATCTGTCCTCGTGGGGGTGATGGGGCGCAGCGGTCATCCTTCCACTCTGAGCTCCTACTCAGTGCCCACCCTGCCCTCCGAGCTCATGCACATGGGTCCTGGCACTCCTGCAGGGGTGGGGGCTGTGGGTGGGAGAGACAAAGAAGGCAGTTGGGGAGCTGCAGGCAGGCGTGGCTGGAACAGCAGGAGGCCTCTGGCGGCCTCTGTGCTGGGAGCCCCACGCCCGTCTGCTGGAATGAGGGCCCTTGTCCCCCTCTCCCAGCCCACAAAAGCAGAAGGAGGGCTTCGGACGGGGTCTTGGCTCCAGCTGCTACAGCACGGTGCCAGGTGGGTCCCAAAGCGCAGACATTTCTTTCTCCGGGGTCTGGAGGCTGGGAGTCGGAGACTCAGCTGCCCGCAGCCTTGGTGTCTGGTGAGAGCCGACTTCCTGGCCTGCAGACCGCACCTTGCAGCAGGTCCTCATGTGGGGGTGGGGGGTGGGGGGTGGGGGGCAAGCAGTGGGAGAAGACCTGCCCGTTTCTTCTCATAAGGGCACTAATCCCATCACAGGGCCCCACCCTCCAGCCCTGGGGCTGCATAGATCCTGGACCTCAGTTCCTTCCCCTGGTGACCTCCTGGCCTGCTTCCTGGAGCCCGAGGGTCTGGGTAATGGCAACCACCACAGCAGGGAGGGTGGCCCGTTTGTGCGAGCACTATCGGGCGCCGGGCATCTCCCACAGGCTTTCTGATTTACACCCTGCACTAACCCCCAGCAAGGTGGCCCCACTGCCGCCTCCCTCCTCCCCAAGGTGGGCAGAAGGGCCGCACCGGCCACACCAGGGAGCACGGTTCTGGGCTCTGAGTGACACCCTCTCCCTGTGACAAAGGCCGCTACCAGTGGCTGCTGACAGAGGGACTTCAGGCAGGGCCAACAAGGGCCTGCAATGGTGAGCCGTCCTGAGTCCCTCTGGATACACACCGGGACCCACAGCCATTCCTGTGAGCGAGACCATCAGGAGGCTGGGCCGCGTCTCCCCTCTCTGGTCCCTGCCCGCCCATGGACACAGCTGGCCATGCATCCACACTGCGTGCCCTTTGCCAGTCTTCACCTGGGCCCCACACCCTCCTTCTCCCCTGAAGCTCAGCCCTTCCTGCCTGCAGCCACAACGGACTAAGGTCCCTTAACCGCTGACCGCTGCCTTGCTGAAGCACCCGGTCTGGTAGGAGCCTCGAGCTCAGTGTTTGTGCGCGGGGCCTGTCCCTTCACGCCAGGCCATCTGCTCCATACAGGAAGGCACCCGGCTTGCGAGTGCGGGGCTGTGGACGGGACACTTGCTCGACAGTTGCTCGGGGCCTCGTTCCTGGTGTGGGGTGGGGCTGCAGCCAGAGACCCCCTAGAGGAGGAGGGCGTGGGGTTCTCTGTCGCCATGGAGCCCTCACTCTGGGAGGGTGGACACATCCTCTGCCATCAAAAGGGACTGGGAGAGGTTGCAGAGCCCCACGGTGCAGGCAGGGAAACTGAGGCTGGGACCGATGCCTCTCCCTCCCCACCCCCGCCCACTCCCAGCCCTCCCTAGGTCCCTCCTCACGTCCCACCGTGGGGACCCCAGAACCTGCCCTTTGACAACTAAATGGGACAGCAGGACCCCGAAGGTGCGGCACGTCTGGATCAGAATCTCCATGCCCCCCTCCCCTGTTGCGTGTCCTCGGGAGCGTCACTAAATGACGTCACCCTCACCTGCAGACAGCAGGTGCCCGACGGATCGGCGGCAGCGACGCCCCGCCGGCCTCCCGCCGCCAGAGGGCGCGGCAGGCGGCACGCAGGCGTCGCGGGGCCGCCGTCGCCGCCCGCGCGCCCTCCCCCGCTGCGGGGTTTTGCTTCCGGTTGTTCCGGAAGTTGGGTGCCGAGGGCGGTGGAGGCGGCTTCCGGTTCCGGGACGGCCGTGGCGGCGGCGCGGCGCCGGTGTTCTGGCACCGCGGTGCGTGGGTCGCGGCTGCCGGCCACAGCGGTCCGTCCCCGGCCGGTCGGAGGCGGGCCTCGCGCGGCCTCCCTGAGTCGCTCCGCCCGGCGGGGCCGCGGCCCCTTCGCCCGCGCGCCGCGGGCCCGGGCGGCCCAGGGACGAATGAATGAGCGAGCCGGCGAGGGGCGGCGGACCGGGCGCCGGCCTTCTCCTCGGGTGACCCCTCGGCGGCGAGCCGCAGCGCGGGGCGGGGGACGGGATGAACCGGGCCAAGCCCGCGACGGTCCGCAGGCCCAGCGCGGCGGCCAAGCCGTCAGGTGCGGGCTCCTGGGCGTCGGGGCCTCCGGGAGGCGGGCTCCCTGCCGTTGGGCACACGCGAGGCAGCAGGCAGCCGCCGGCGGCGCGGCGGGGCCGGGGCGGGGGGCCGCGTGGCTTCAGATCCGGCTTTGTCCCCGCGGGCTGTGTCTGCAGAGCCGGCGGGCGGTGCCCGTCGAGGGTCTTGTTGAGGCCTGGTCTGTAGCGAGCGCGGCGGGACCGTCGGCGCTGTTGTCGCCCACCGCACCGGACCGGCTGCGCCCGGGCTTGCTGGCCGCCTGACCCTGGTGGAGGCCCCCGTGAGACAGCGCGAGGTTGCCGTCTGCCTCCAGCACCCTTCGCACCGCCGCACCGCGTAAAGGGCCCGTTTCTCCACCTCCCTTCTCTGCAGGGCACCCTCCACCGGGAGACTTCATTGCTCTGGGCTCTAAGGGTCAGGCCAATGAGTCCAAAACGGCGTCCACCCTGTTGAAGCCTGCCCCTTCTGGCCTGCCTTCCGAGCGCAAGCGGGACGCTGCAGCCGCTCTGGCGGGCGCCTCCGCCCTCACCGGCCTCACCAAGCGCCCCAAACTCTCGTCCACACCCCCCCTGAGTGCCCTGGGGCGCCTGGCTGAGGCTGCAGTGGCAGAAAAGCGTGCTATCTCCCCATCCATTAAGGAGCCATCTGTGGTCCCAATCGAAGGTAAAGTCCGTTTCTGAGCTTCCCAGAGAGCACACCCCACACCTTGCCCGTCTCCTGGGGGTCGCTGAAGGCTGCTTCCAGGCAGAAGGGTGGAGAGGAGACATCTGGGAGTTTGTTCTGCAGAGCACTTCTCTCGCAGGTGCCTTTACCCCACGTGTGCTTCCAAACTCTGTGACGGAGATGGGGAAATATTAACGGGACCCGCGGCAGCTTGGGTGGCATAGGCGTGGCATAGGCGGGTCTCGGGCCCGCATGCTGCGGGCCCACAAGTGCTGGCCAGGGCCCATCCCTGCGGTGAGCTCAGCGTCCTGCTCTTAGCGAAGTGGGCACGGGCTGTGCCGGCGCTCCGTCAGCAGGGAGGTGGGCGGATGGTGGCTCTTCGGCTGTCCCCATGTCGTGGAGGGCCCCCTGCTGCGCTGACGGCGGCTCTTCTTTGGGAGCAGCGTCCTTCCTTTGCCCGGTGGCTCATCTGATGTCCTTGCTGAGCGCCTCCTTTGTGACAGGCTCTGCTCCACGCAGTGGGGATCAGCAGAAACTGAGACCAGAGCCTTGTTCTTGCGGGCTCTGTGTTCCGGTGTGTTCGTCCCTCTGCCTGGGTTGTGGACGTTTGCACTTCAGTAATCTCTACTACCGACGAAGAGCTCCCAACTAAAGTTCTCTTTAGTTGGGAAAGTAATACTACAACGTTAATGATGTCCAAGAAAATTTTTTTAGAAATTACTTATAATTGTGTTATTTACGGAAGGGCTTTTTAATCTATACACACCTCAGGTTGCCCTTGCTTTTCTGTGTCATCTTCCCATTGGTTATTTCTAGCTGCTCCACGATACCCCATAGATCAGATTCTAAATATCAAGCCAGCCCCAGGTTTTTAGCATAGAGATAGTCACACAACAGCTTTGACACACAGAAGGCTCACGAGGGATTTGTGAAGTTGAGCCCTAAAAGCTGCACAGGGTTTTGACGGGTGGTTGAGGATGTTGGAGAATAAGCTGCTGAGCGAGGCATCCAGCCTGGAGAATGGGACTGTGCCCAGGGAACGGGCAAGGTCTGGGCAGCTCCCAGGGGCGAGAACCCAAGCTGGCAGGCGGGGAAGATGCAGTTGGCAGCGGGGAGCCCCGGGGCATGAGGAGCAGAAGACACGGCTGGTGCTAGCTGGGCTTTGGGAGATGAATCAGACCTCTCGTCCATGCCCAACCCTCCCGGGGCGACATCCGCCCCTGGCACCGAGGGCTGAGGCCCCGGCTTGCACCACAGTTCTCCCAGTTACTGGCTGACGTCTCCCATACAAGTTGCTTCTGGAGATCAGATGAAATGCAGTTATGAAAAACGTGTTCTGAGTGATGAAGCACTTTACAAACGTCATCAGTGAACAGAAGGTGGAACACAGCCGAGCGCAGCCCCGGGCACACGGGAGGTCGAGGTCTTCCCTGAGTCCGGTGCGTCTGCACGGCCTGCTTGCCTTGTGTCCCGGACACCTGGAAAGTGTTCAGCGGGTATCGCTCAATCCTCTGCCCTCGCACAGTTAACTCACACCAACGGCAGCACCTCTCTCTCTGTGTGTTTGCGTCTTTAAAAACCCCCGGGGAAAATCTCTCGGGTCCAAGAAGACGCCACAGTGGGGATTACAAACTGTGAGTGATACCGAGTGTAGCGCCGGGAAGAGGCGTGGTGGACCTGGCACGCTCCCGGGAGGCTGGCGGTGCAGGGGGGTCGGTGAGCTCTGTGTGCCGCCGAAGCAAGACGGCGGAAAGAAAGAAGGGCTCAAAAGATGGCAGAAGTGAACACGGGAGAGAAGGTCAAAACCCAAAGAGGGTTGTTTGCAGACTACTGAAGCAGAAACCCCTGTGCGGGGCGGATCTGAGGAGAGGGTAGAGGCAGGGTCAGCGGGGACAGGAGGGGAGAGCCGCTGAGAAGCCGCCGCTGATAGAGGAGAAAAGGCGATGAATGGCATTGGGCCAGTTAATTTGGAAACTTAGAAAAAGCCGATTTGTAGAAAAATGCAACGTAGGAACAGCTAACCCCAGGGTAGCCGTGCGGGAGGTGGGGAGGGGTCTGGAGGTGGCTGGGCCAGCGCTGGAGGCTAGAGGGCGCTGTTGCCGCTGTGGCCCGTCGTTGGCTGGGTCAGCCCGTGAGGCGGGCGGCACCTGCCTGCTCCGTCCCCGGATGTTGCTGCTGTCCGCCCTGAGACCCTCACTCGCTGAGCTTGTGCGGGTTTGCCCTGCTGTCCACTGACTTTGGGGGGACCCTGAAGGCGGGTTCTGACGATGCCCTTCCCACACCTGCCAGTGCCCCCCTCTGCGCTGCTGGACGAGATCGAGGCCGCCGAGCTGGACGGCAATGATGGCCGGATCGAGGGCGTGCTGTGTGGGGCCGTGAAGCAGCTGAAGGCCACCCGGGCTAAGCCGGACGGCGCACTCTACCTGAGCCTCATGTATCTGGCCAAGATCAAGCCCAACATCTTCGCCACAGAGGGTGTCATCGAGGTGAGGACTGGCGGGCCTGGTGAGGCCCTCGCTCTGGCCTTGCGGTTCCCCCCCCCCCCGACCTCAGGCCACCTCCCCTGGCAGCTCGCTGGCTCTGCCCCATGTGCAGGGCACCGCTTTCCCGATGACATGCCGTCTCTCGCAGGCTCTGTGTAGTCTGCTGCGGCGGGATGCCTCCATCAACTTCAAGGCCAAGGGGAACAGCCTGGTGTCCGTGCTGGCCTGTAACCTACTCATGGCTGCATACGAGGAGGATGAGAACTGGCCGGAAATCTTCGTCAAGGTGGGTCCGCCTCTCCTGGGGGGCTCCCCTGGGACCTCCGCGCTGCTTGGGGTGATGGGGGCAGAGTGCTGGGCCCCAGGAGGAAAAAGAGGCCGACCTGAGTGTGCTCTCTCCGGAGGCTGCGTGTCTGACGGCCCGAGGCGTCTCTCTCCTGCACTGGTCACTGGGGAGGTCATTCGGGGAAGCACCTGTCTTGGGAGCAGCAGAGGGTAGACAGAAGCGAGCTGCCCGGCAGGGGCCAGGAGTGTGGACGTCTGTCGCGTGCAGGTGTACATCGAAGACTCCCTGGGAGAGCGGATCTGGGTGGACAGCCCACACTGCAAGACCTTCGTGGACAACATCCAGACGGCGTTTAACACCAAGATGCCCCCCAAGACCATGCTTCTGCAGGGGGAGGTGGGGCGCAGCGGCGGGGATCTCAGTGCTGGTAAGAGATGCCGGGTGGCCGGGCTGGGGAGAGGACAGAGTCCGTGAGGGAGGGGCTGGGGTCGCCTCCCTCCACGGAGCCCACTGTGGGTGGGGGTTGGGCTCGCAGGACAGTTGGGGGATGTGTCCACGAGTGGCTCGGTCTGCAGGGAGCAGCCCTCACCCTTCCCTCACGGAGGAGGAGGACAGCCAGACAGAGCTCCTGATTGCCGAGGAGAAGCTCAGCCCCGAGCAGGAGGGCCAGCTCATGCCCAGGTAGGCACGCCGTGCGGCCCCCTGCCCGCAGGGCCCAGTGTGTGGCTGGAAGGCCAGTGGGGTGGGCCCTTGAGAAGAGCCAGCCCTCCTTCCTTCCTCCCGCCCTCTGGCCTAGGTACGACGACCTCGCGGAGAGCGTGGAGGAGTACGTCCTCGACATGCTCCGTGACCAGCTTAACCGGCGCCAGCCCATCGACAACGTCTCACGGAACCTCCTGCGGCTCCTCACCTCCACCTGTGGCTACAAGGAGGTGCGGCTGATGGCGGTGCAGAGGCTGGAGATGTGGCTGCAGAACCCCAAGGTGAGGGCCGGGAGGCGGGACCGTGCCCACGGGGACCTCCTCCTAGGCTCTGTGTGTGAGGCTGACGGGGTGCTGCCCGGACCCCCGCAGCTGACCAGGCCAGCCCAGGACCTGCTGATGTCCGTGTGCATGAACTGCAGCACTCACGGCGTTGAGGACATGGACGTCATCTCCCACCTGATCAAGATCCGCCTCAAGCCCAAGGTCCTGCTCAACCATTACATGCTGTGTGTCAGGTGCGGCCCGGGCAGGAGCGGGCACGGCGGGGCGGGGCGGGGTGCGGCGGGTGGCCGCGTCCGCGCCAGTGCCCCTTGGCTCGCCTTGTGTCCAGGGAGCTGCTGAGCGCGCACAAGGACAACCTGGGCACCACCATCAAGTTTGTGGTCTTCAACGAGCTCTCCAACGCCCGGAACCCCAACAACATGCAGGTCCTGTACACAGTACTGCAGCACAGCTCGGAGCTGGCGCCCAAGGTAGGGCGCTGCGGCGCCGGCAGCCTTCCGTGTGTGCGCTGCAGAGCGGCCCCACCCCGGGCGGCGGGGCTGCAGGCCGGAGAGGAGGGCGGGGTGCCGGGCTGCGTGGACAGAGCCCTGGGAGGGGGCAGAGGGCCCAGGGAGCAGCGCACGGAGGCTTGCGACTGCAGCTCAGGTGCACGGGGTGGCAGCCCTGCCAGGGGCGCCTTCCTCAGAGGCTACAGCTGGGCTCGTTCAGGAGCAGGCAGCACTGAGCCCCCCGAAAGGCACCTGTTTCCAAGCCAAGGCCTGTCCCGCCGTCCTGAGGGCTGGTCTTTCCCAACCCAGGCCGGCGTCTCTGGTGCGGCCTTTGGGTCCCGGATTCCAGGGGCTTTTGAAGGGAGAGCCGGGGTGGCGCCAGCCTCAGTTGTTACGGAAGCGAGCTAGGCCTTTAAATGGCTCGGATGCGCACACAGCAGCAGGTGCACGTCGTGCTGCTTCTCGCCGCCCATCCCAGCCGCCCAGGTGTCCGGCACGCCCCACCCCCAGCGAGTGTCTTCGTTAACCTGGCACCTCATTTAATGAGGACCAGTCCCCCACGAGCCAGCTGCCAGGAGAGCGAAAGCCATGTCCCCTGCTGTCCGGGAGCGGCCAGTGTGGAAGCCGAGTCGTGCTCGCTTGAGCCCGGCGTGCTCCAGGGAAACCGGGGCGTCTTCCCGGAAGGGCCGAGGGAGGCCCCGACGGCAGGCCTGCGACGGGAGGGGAGCTGGCGGCGGTGGGGAGTGACCTCCCTGCGTGTCCTCTCTCCTCCCAGTTCCTGGCCATGGTGTTCCAGGACCTGCTGACCAATAAGGAGGACTACCTGCGGGCCTCACGGGCGCTACTGCGGGAGATCATCAAGCAGACCAAGCACGAGGTCAACTTCCAGGCCTTCTGCCTCGGGCTCATGCAGGAGCGCAAGGAGCCCCAGTACCTGGACATGGAGTTCAAGGTACCCCAGCTGGCCTGCCCCTCACCTCCTGCGCTCCGCGGCCTCTCCTGCCATCTGTGGGTGGCATCCCGTGCGGCCAGCGGCCAGTCCCAGAGGGCAGCCTGGGGTCCATTCTGTGTGGGGGAGGGATAGCCGCACGCGGGCGACCTTCCGGCTGGCCTGGAGGTGGGATGGAGTTGGAGCCGGCGGGGCCACAGGTCTGCCCCAGGGAGGTGTTAGAGTTTGAGGTGCGGAGGGAGATGGGGAGGAGGAGAACGGGGGCAGATTGTGGAGGGTCTTGAGGGCCACGTGGGTGAGTCGGCAGATGGCCCCACGCTCTGGAGGGTGGGCCTTGCCCAGCTTTGTCGGCTGAACCTTCTGTGGTCTGAGCCTTGCTGCCGACCTGCTCCTGGTCCCCAGACCTCCTCCCGTGGGCCGTCTCCAGGCATGGTGCTCCCTGGGCGTCCTCTAGGGCCGGCTGCTCGTGGGCTGGGGGCCTGAGCCGGGCCTCTGGGGTGCAGGCCCCTGCCCCACACGAACCTGGCTGTGTGGGGCTGTGGTTGCAGGAGCGGTTCGTAGTGCACATCACAGACGTGCTGGCCGTGGCCATGATGCTGGGCATCACCGCCCAGGTGAAGGAGGCCGGCACTGCCTGGGACAAAGGAGAGAAAAAGAGTAAGGACCCAGGACAAACCCAACACCACCCAGCTCCAGGGCAGGGATGGGGGGCATTCCCAAGGCTGCAGGCCGTCCCCTGGGGGCCCTGCCCAGCACCGCCGGACACTCAGGGAGTTTCTGGAAGCTGCCGTTGCCTGTTCTCTGGGCCCAGGGCCTGCTGGCTGCTTCAGTCATCTGCTCACTGGGGGCCATTTCAGGCTCATAGTCCCACCTCCGAGGGCAGGAGGGCAGGAGGGCAGGGTGGGTGGGTCTTTCTGCTGCTTTGCCTCATCATGAAGCCTGCCGGGAGTCTGGCTACAGAGCTCTCTCAAGTGTCTTAACAAAGTCATGAAAACTTTAGAAATGAAATCATTTGGAATTTGGGGATTTCGTTTATCTAGGATTTCTCCAACCTACCGGAGGCTTACGCGGCTCCCTGAACGTTTCTCCAGCTGCGTCAGCGTCCATCTGTGTGTCCCTCCCGTAGCCCGTAGGAGGCACAGAGATGGATGCTCAGAACGCCCTGTGATGCCCAGGCTCCTGTCCCTGCACCCGCCTGGCACCTGAGCCCGGAGGCTGCCATGCAGGTGCACCATAACCCTGCGTGTCCTTTTCAGACCTCGAGGTGCTGCGTTCCTTCCAGAACCAGATTGCCGCAATCCAGCGGGATGCCGTGTGGTGGCTGCACACCGTTGTCCCCTCCATCAGCAAGCTCGCCCCCAAGGACTACGTGCACTGGTATGGGCCAGGCTTGCTTCCACGGCGGCCCTTCCCTGTGCTTCGCCCACGGGACCTGCCACGCCAGGTGTGGGAGCCCGCTGGCCCGGCCTCTCAGCCAGAGATGTGCCCCCGAGCCGGGGGACACGGGCCCGTCTCTGGGGTCCGGTGTACCAGCCTTACGGGGCTGCAGGAGGCTCCAGAAGACTCCCCGGGAGCCCCTGCTGGAGCGTGCCGCTCCTGCATCTGTGGGCCTAGTGGGGCGGGGAGAGCCCCCGGGGCACCCGCACCGACAGCCCCTCTGTCCCCCACAGCCTGCACAAGGTGCTCTTCACTGAGCAGCCGGAGACCTACTACAAGTGGGACAACTGGCCCCCCGAGAGTGACCGCAAGTGAGCATGCCTGCCGCGCGCACGGGGCGGTGGAGGGTCTGCTCCCGTGAGCACCACGGACACCAGGGCTCCCCCGAGCACGCCCCCACCTCTGTCTGTTCTTCCTGATGGCCATCCCTGTCCCCCCGCCCCCCGTCCTCACGTGCTGTACCTGCCATGGCCCTGCACTGCCGTCCACTCCCAGGGCTTCAGCCGACCCGTGCCCACGGGACCCTCAGACCCACTGTTCCCTCTGCCTCCAGGCAGCCACATGCACGCGACCTCCTCCCCGGGTCAGTGTTGTGGCCCCGCCTCCCGAGCGCTCTCGAGTGGCTCCCAGCTGTCTTCACCTTTGGGTCCCTGGTGCCCAGTCCAGCTTGCGTGGCTCCTACCCTCCCGTGCTCTCTGCCGCTCCTTGTGTTGCGGTTTCAGAGGTTGTGGATGGTGGCCGGTGTGTCTGCCCCTGGGGGTCACGCACCATCTCACGTTCTTCCCTGGCATGGCCAGGCCTCGTCCACGGAGGCCTCAGGAGCAAGGGAGCATGGGAGCGGGATGGCTGCCCTCCTCCCTGTCCCGTTGAGACTCCGAGCTGGGGCTTCCCCCGCACCGGGGGTGGGGGGGCACGTGCAGCCCCCCACCAAGCCCAGCCTCTACCTGCTCTGCCCGCAGTTTCTTCCTCCGCCTCTGCTCGGAGGTGCCCATCCTGGAGGACACACTGATGCGCATCCTGGTCATCGGGCTGTCCCGGGAGCTCCCGCTGGGCCCCGCAGATGCCATGGAGCTTGCCGACCACCTGGTGAAACGAGCTGCGGCCGTGCAAGCAGATGGTGAGGGTCTCTCCAGACTTTGTCCGCGCACCGCCCCCAGTGTTGGCCTCCCCCAGCCGGGCTCCGCTCCGGGCACCTGCGTGCGTGCCCTCGGGCTGCTCGGGTGGGTCTGCTTCGTCCTGCAGCCCCTGCTCGGTGGACCCTACTGGTCTCTGGAATTGGGGATGGGGTAGGAGGTGCGCATCTCTGGCCGTGATTCTGGAGCTCGCCCTGGGGTTTGCGCACGTTCTCCATGTGATGCACCGTGGCAGGGCTGTGTCTGCCCCTCTAAAGGGCCGCGCCAGCAGTCCTGAGGACGGCACTCAGGCCAAGAGAGCGACTCGTCTCTGGCCGCTGCTGGGCCAGCGTCTGTGCCCCACCCTTCTCGGGCCCCCCTGTCTGTCCCCCCGTGCCCCTCAGCTGCTGGAGAGAGAGGTCCCGTCTGCCTGCTGCCCTTCCACAGCCTGAACCCTGTGCCTCGGGGCCCCCTGGTGCATGTGAGTGGGCTTCTGGAAGCTCCGTATGGCTCTCGGGTTTCAGATGTGCAAGTGCTGAAGGTGGAGAGGATCCAGCTGATCGACGCGGTCCTGAACCTGTGCACCTACCATCACCCCGAGAACATCCAGCTCCCGCCTGGGTAAGGTGCTCCTCGCCCCTTACACCCGCCCCTCCCCGCGGCCACGGGCGCAGACGCCCGTGAGGCTGGACGTGGTGGGGTTACGGGGTTAACGGAGGCACTGCCGACTTGCCCACAGCAGTGCCCGCCGCGTCCTCGCCACGCCCGCGCCCGAGTCTTCTGTGCTCACCGTCCCGGCGGGTGTGTGGAGTTGTCACGCCGTGGCTCCCACGGGCGCCTCTGAGCACCGACGGCGCAGAGCCTCTCTTCCTGTGCCGTGCAGCCACGCGTCTGTCTTGTCGGGAGAGATGTCTGTCGGGTTCTTCGACCTGTTCTTAAATGGGGTGGTGTGGATTTTTGTCGTTGGGTTTTGGGAGTTCTTTATACATCCTGGATCTAGACCCCGAACGGGTTGTGACTTGCACGTGTCTTTCCTGGCCTGCGGCTCGTCTTCCCAGGCTCTTGATCGTGCCCTTTGAGCCCTTGAGAGACGAACGCTTTAGTTCCAGGAAAGCCCGGCTCCTCTGGGGTTCTCCCATTTCCTGTCCTCTCGTGTCATTTCTAAGGAACCACTGCCTCATTCGGGATCGTGAAGATGTACCTCTGTGTTTTACAGTTTCAGCTCTGGAACTTAGGCCTTTGATCCCCCGAGCTAGTTTTGTGGGTGGAGGGAGAAGCTGGCTCCAGGTTCACTCCGCCACAGGTGGATGAGCCGTTGCCCCAGCGCTGTTTGCTGACCGCGCACACGTGGCTTGTCTGGGGCCCTCGGCTCTGTTCCGTGCGGGATGCACTGACGACGTGGCCCCGTGGGCCACTCTGCTGCCGCGTGGCTCTGGTGGCTGACCCGGGCCACGGAGCTCTCTCATGTGTTTTCCTAAGGGCTTGAGAGTTTTAGCTCGTGAGGTCCGACTTCATTCTCCTTCACGTGGACAGCCCGTGGTCCCAGCACCGTGCGTTGAAGGCTGTTCCCTGTTCCCTCTCCCATTGAAGGTTTTGTCACCCTGGTCGGCGATCAGGTGACGATGATGTGTGGGTTTTCTTCTGGGCTCTCGGTTCTGTCTGTTGGTCTGTGTGTCTGTCCCACGTCCGTACCACCGTCTTCACGCCTGTGGGCGGCGCTGAGTTCCGAAATTGGGAAGTAGCAGTCTTCCAACTTTGTTCTTCAAGACTGTTTTGCGTTTCCACATGAATTTTCGGGTCAGCTTCTAGAGAATTTCTAAAGAAAAGCCCCGTGGGCTTTGACGGGTATTGCTTCACAGATGGGTTTGAGGAGTGTGGCCACGGTCACGATATTAAGGCTCTGGTTTCCATTCGTTTAGATCTTTTGTTTCTTTCAACATCGTCCCGTAGCTTCTAGTGGGTTAGTCTCACGCGTTCCCTGTTACGTTTGTACCCAAGTATCTTTTTCTTTCTGCTGCTCTTTATCATGCCCAGGATCCACTTCTTCGTTGCCTTCGTTGCCCTTTTAGGTTGCTAACGCGTGCTCTGCTTCCCGACCTCTCTTTCACGTGGCAGCCCATTTGCTCATCTCTCCAAGTCAGCTTCTCAGATCTCCTTTGTTCTTTGCAACAGCGACGCTCTGTTTCACCCTCTGGAACGTTCCATCACCTGAAAGAACTGCACTTTGAGCATGAGTGCGTCATAAACGTGATTTTTAAATCACGGTGGCAGTGGTGCAGTTTGTGTGGGTGGATAGAGGGCTCTTTCTGGCTTTCTGAGGGAGAGAATAAAAGGAACACTGAGGTTTCGCAGCGTGACCACCCTCGTTCCCACTTTGTAGACGGCACGCCAGGGCTCAGCCGGCTCGGGGACCTGGGCAGCGAGTCCCGGTGCTGGGCTCTGGGCAGCGTAGTGGTGCCCACAGTGCCCTTCCTGGGGACGCCAATGTTGCTGGATGACCAGATCCGGGGGTTGTGGAGGCCCAGGTGTCCACATTTCAATCTTCGAAGTAGTCCCCTCGCTGGTCCATCACCAAATCGCCTCTGGGCCATTCCACCCTGGTCAGTACCGATTCCCATCACTGCCTCGCACCCCCGAGGCCGAGCCACGCCCTAGTGTCCTTGCGTTTCAGGTACCAGCCTCCGAACCTGGCCATCTCCACCCTCTACTGGAAGGCGTGGCCCCTCCTGCTGGTGGTCGCAGCGTTCAACCCCGAGAACATCGGTGAGCCTCCCCCGGCCAGCTCGCGGTCACCCGTGCCTGGTGCTGCTCTTACGTCCTGTCGGGGCACCTTGCCTGTTGGGACCCAGAGTGGAGCCTGGCCGGGGACTGGGTGGTGGGCCGGGACCCTAGGTGGGGCGGGAGTTCCGTGTTCTGGCTGCCACCTGCTGTCTCCTTGCTCCCTAGGGCTGGCTGCCTGGGAGGAGTACCCCACGCTGAAGATGCTCATGGAAATGGTGATGACCAAGTAAGTGAGCACACGCACTGCTGGGAGCAGGGCCCCCGAGGACAGGCCCTGTCTGCGGACGCTGGGGAGCAGAGTAGACCCAGAGCCCCCGGCTCGCTCCGAAGCATCTGCTGCCGCGTAGCCGCCCGGGGTTCGCTTTCTCGTAGCGAGAGAGAAGACCCAGCCCAGTCCAGCTGGGTCTGCTGCATGTTAGCGCCCTCTCCTGTGGGTGAGACGGAGTGGGATTGAGGTGGGGTCGTGGGGGCAGGTCAGTGGACGGCTGGTGGCACTCGGCGAGGGGGTGTGGCCGGATGGAGCTGCACGGAGACGAGGCACTGGGTGGACCGGGTGCAAACTTGAACGCTGCCTGGGGTCCACGCGGGGGGCACTGTGCTGCACGGGGCCATGGGTGCCCGGCGCCTGGGCTGGGTGACTGCACTGTGACGTCCGCCGCGCGTGTGACACGCTCCCTGCCAGTCGTCGGGAGTGGGAGCTGGGTCCGTCTGCCAGCACCTTCCCGAGGGACAGGAGGGTGACCACGCAGAAGGCCGTGGTTGAGACGGAGCAGGGCCTGAGGCCGTGGCACGTGCACACACGTGCGTGCACCTGTGAGCTGTGCGGGGCGGGAACCAGCCATGTCTGCACAGGCGTGTGGGTGACCGGGGCTGATGCAGTGGGCTGCCGCTGGGGCCCGGAAGACGGGCCTGACACGCGTGGCCGTGACCGGCGGTGCGTTCGCTCTCCGAACCTGGGACCGCTGGGTGGCTGGGCGGAGCAGCTGGTCCGCCTGCCGATGCCCTGTGGGCCGGGACGCCTGCCCATCGCAAGGGGCTTCTGGCCCGGGGAGGGCTGGGTGAGCGGGAGTCCAGGATTCTGACGCCCGCTGGGCCTGACTCGGGAGGTGGCTAGTGCGCTGTCTTGTGGAGGGAGAGCGGCTTGCCGAGCACAGGGGCTTCCTCCCGGGGCCCCGACCTGGCGGCACTGCTGATGGCCCAGCCAGGTCCCCCAGAGCGCTTGGCAGCTGAGGCTGTGCGCGGGGCTTTAGTTGTGACCCTCCTGGACCCCTGCACTGCTGTCTGGTGGCCGCACGCCTCAGATGGGCACCGAAGCATGTTCCTCCTGTTCGGTCCCTAGCAACTACTCGTACCCGCCGTGCACCCTGACGGATGAGGAGACCCGGACAGAGATGATTAATCGGGAGCTGCAGACCTCCCAGCGGGAAAAGCAGGAGATCCTGGCGTTCGAGGGGCATCTGGCGGCGGCTTCCACCAAGCAGACCATCACCGAGAGTAGCAGCCTTCTCCTGTCCCAGCTCACCAGCCTGGACCCTCAGTATGTTCTGCCCACGTGCCCGGGCCAAGGCCGCGCGGGCATTGGCGGGGTGGGGGAGCGAGGCCCCTGGGACTCTCCACGGAGCTGGGTGCACTCAACAACTGGGGAGGCAGAGGGACCGCCGGGCCTTTGTGGGGGCTGCCTCAGGTGGGACACAGGCAGTCCCCCTGCCATCACCTGCTGCTGTTACTCGGGGACTCTGCGCACACGCGGCTTCTTAACACGCTCGTGTTCTCTGGGACCTTCAGAGGACCCCCTCGGAGGCCTCCCCCCCACATCCTGGACCAAGTGAAAGGTCTCAACCAGTCCCTGCGTCTCGGGCACCTGCTGTGCCGGAGCCGAAGCCCTGATTTTCTCCTCAACATTATCCAGAGGCAGGCCAGTTCCCGGCGGCTCCGGGGGTTGGGGGGACGGGGGCCTGGCCGAGGCGTCTGCAGGGGGTGAGGGGGCCGGGGCCTGGCCGAGGTGTCCACAGGCTCTGGCATTAAGTGAGACCGTGGCCAGAAGAGGGCACCCTGGGACCTAGGGCCACTGAGGACGGACTCCTTGGCTGTAGCCAACTGTCGACAGTGAGCGGTGGCCCTGACCTGTTGCCGCGGGAGCGTGCGGTGGTGGGCGGACGGGTCACAGCAGGGGGCGCGATGGGTTCCTGCTGTGAGGGGCTGAAGGTGCACGTCGCCCGGCCCAGGCCTCGTCTCAGTCCATGCCCTGGCTGGCCGACCTGGTGCAATCGAGCGAGGGCTCCTTGGATGTGCTGCCCGTGCAGTGCCTGTGTGAGTTCCTGCTGCATGACGCGGCTGATGACGCCACCTCCGGGGAGGAGGAGGAGGAGGGCGAGAGCAAAGAGCAGAAGGCCAAGAAGCGGCAGGTTGGTGTTCTCGCCCCCCACCCCAGGCCCACCGGGGTGCCGTGTCCCGCCCGCGGCCCCGCAGGCCCACCGGGGGTCTCCCTCGCCCCTGCAGAGGCAGCAGAAGCAGCGGCAGCTGCTGGGCCGCCTGCAGGACCTGTTGCTGGGCCCCAAGGCCGACGAGCAGACCACGTGCGAGGTGCTGGACTACTTCCTGCGGCGCCTCGGCTCCTCCCAGGTGGCTTCCAGGGTGCTGGCCATGAAGGTGAGGCCCGTTTGTCCCCCCACACCCTCGCTCCCCGGCATGGGCCTCTCTCGTACCTCAGCAGGCACGTATTCCCCTGGGCTCTCCGGGGGCTGAAGGGGTGGCGGGGTGCTGTCTGGGAGAGCCGGACCCCAAGAGGGACTCGGTGGCCTTGGAACCGGTCTTGCCCGGTCCTCTGTGGTGCTGGGCGACTTGAAACCGGCTCGCGCTGCCTCTGTGTCGTGTCGGCTCAAGCACCTGTGACAGGTCGCAGCGTCCTCGTTGGCCGGGCAGCGCCCATCTTCTCGGGGCCGTGAGCCCACGTGCCTGTCCCCCGAGACGCCCGTGCGGGCTCGGGCCGAGACGTGGCACGGCAACGTCTGCCTGCAGGGCCTGTCCCTGGTGCTGTCGGAGGGCAGTGTGCGGGACGGCGAGGAGAAGGAGCCCCCGATGGAGGAGGACCCAGGGGACCCAGAGGCGCTGCGTGGCTACCAGTGGCTGTTGCGGGACCTGCCCCGGCTGCCCCTGTTCGACAGCGTCCGGCCCACCACCGCCCTGGCACTGCAGCAGGTGGGCGCCGCGGACGGCTTGGGCGGCGGGGGCCGCTGGCCTGCGGGTGGGGCTCACACGGCCCTCCGTGCCCAGGCCATCCACATGGAGACCGACCCGCAGACCGTCAGCGCCTACCTGGTCTACCTGTCCCAGCACACACCCGTGGAGGAGCAGGGCCCGCACAGTGATCTGGCGCTGGTGAGGGGCCGGGGCTGGGCGGGGCCGGCAGGCAGCCCCCTGGGCTGGGGCGGGGGCCGGGGCTGCACGTGCCCCACTCACTTCCCTGGGACCTTCTGCCCACAGTCAGCGTCGAGGGCGCCAGGGTCCAGCCGTGCTTGGTGCATAGCTGTTGGGGTGACCGAGGCTTGGCCGGCTTTGTTGCCATCTTTGGGTGATGGTGCCTGGGCCGTGAGGTGGAGAATGGCCGCCCCTGGGCCAACCCCGGTGTGTGCGGCGGGTCTCCACGGGGCCGTTACTCAGGGCGGGCGGTGGGGCCCCGGGCGCGGCCGCTTCCTCCTCACTGGCTCTCCTGCTCAGCTTTCTCGTGGCCCTTCTGCCCTGTCCGCGCGCTCCGGCCCTGACCTCACGTGGCTCCTGTGGGCCCCGGGCTCTGTGGGATGCAGGCACCTAGAGGCCCCTGGGGGCGATGTTCTTTCTGCGTGTGGGTTCCTTGCCAGGGGGCTGGGTGGGAACAACAGCCCAGGCCTTGACGCCTCGCCCGAGTCTGCTCTGGCGGCCGGCCTGGGGACAGCCCGTGGCCCGTGTGCCCGGTACCGTTGCTGCGGGTTTCAGGTCAGTCCGCGTGTGGCTGTGGGCTTTTCTCTTTGGGTCTTGAGGAGGGCGAGCTCCCGTTGCTCACGGGGCCAGGTGGGCATCCTCCGCCTTCAGGGCATCTGTGTCCTTCTTGCCCTGCCATGCCCGGCCTGCTTGGTGGTCTGCGTCCCCGTGTGTGCACAAGGGCCCCCCACTCCGTTGTCGGTGTGCCCACCATGCGCCGCTGGGTCTCGGTGACCCTGGCCGTGGCCATGTGAGCTCACGTGATGCGGTCTCGTGGTGGGCCGCCGCTGGCTGTCGGCCTGGCGTGGGCCGGTGGGGGAGGCCCTCTGACGGCGTGCTCACTGCCCCCAGGACGTGGCCCGGCTGGTCGTGGAGCGCTCCACCATCATGTCCCACCTGTTCTCGAAGCGCTCCTGCAGTGCGGAGTCGGACGCCGTGCTCGTCGCCCTGCTCTCCATTTTCTCCCGCTACGTGAGGCGCATGCGCAAGAGCAAGGAGGGCGAGGAGGTGTACAGCTGGGTGAGTCTGGCGGCCGCTCCCCGGGTCGGGCCCCCGGCACCCGGCACAGCCCAGCCACCCTCCTCCTTCCCGTGCAGTCGGAGTCCCAGGACCAGGTCTTCCTTCGCTGGACCAGCGGGGAGACGGCCACCATGCACATTCTGGTGGTGCACGCCATGGTCATCCTCCTGACACTGGGGCCGCCCCGTGGTGAGTGGCCTGCAGGTGCGCGAGGGGCAGTCCCAGGGTCCGTCCGTGCCCACAGTCTGTCTTCACACTGCGGGAGCTCCAGCCCCGCGGGGGGCCGGGGGGGCCCACAGAGCGGGAAGAACGCCTGCGCCCACCCACGATTTGAGCAGGTCTCCGCAGGGTGGCGGCAGGATCCTTTCCCTGCCTGTCCCGAGAGGCCGTGGCAGGAAAGATCTCGGGAGCTGTGGAGCTCCTCAGGTTGACAAGCCTGCAGTCTCCAGCATCTCCTCGCTGCCCTGGCCCGCCACGGAGTGGCGTCGGGAGCCGATGCCTTGCTGTGTCGGCTTCTCTCGGCACTGCCAGCTGAGCTGGTGAAACTCTTGGTCTCTGGAGGTAGAAGCGTAGGTGGGGCTGCCTGCTGAGCAGGCCCCGAGCCCCAGAGCTGTGAGCCCCAGCTCCTCTGCACAGGCCCTCTGCTTGCTGGCCGTGGGCTGTGTCCCTCTGCGTGGCTGCGCACTCTCCGGCCTGGCAGCCTTCCCTCCAGCCCTTCCTGGCCGGCCGCCGTGGTCGGCTGCATCCTCGTGTCCGGGAGGAGAGGGCGGGGACAGGGCCCCTCGCTGGGATAGGTGCCGTGGGGGCGCTGCTGGGAAGGAAGAGGATGCTCCCCCTCAGAAGGATGGGAGTTGGCGAGCCCGGGGCGATGAGGCGAGGCTGGCCTCGCGTCAGCCCTGGGCAGTCTCCGGAGCTTGGGAGCAGGACGGGAGCTGGTTCAGCTGAGCCCAGGAGCCTAGGGACAGTGCTAGCCCGTGTCAGTCCCCCGAGACGGACTGGCCAGTTTCTGAGTACCCGCATGCCCTCAGCTGGAACCGTGGGGTTAGATAGCTCACAGGTTTCCTTCCCTGTTCCCACGAAGCCTCCGTTCGCCTTACACAGTAAGGAGACGTGGTCTTCCAGCCTCGGCTCTCGGTCCCTCGGGGGCCAGGAGCTTCTCACCGCGGGGGTTGGGGTGGCCTCGTTGAGCTGTCCTGCCACTTACCACACTGTCTCTCCCGAAGCTGGTGACGGTGAGTTCCAGGCTCTGCTGGATATCTGGTTCCCGGAGAAGCAGCCTCTGCCCACGGCTTTCCTGGTGGACACGTCTGAGGAGGCGCTGCTGCTGCCCGACTGGCTGAAGCTGCGCATGATCCGCTCGGAGGTCCCTCGCCTGGTGGACGCCGGTATGGGGCTGGGCCGGCCTCACGCCTCCCGATGAGCTGGGCGTTCCCACCATGGCACGTGGGAGAGGACGGCTCGGCAGCCTCGTAGGCTCCAGGGCTCTGTCCTCTAGCAGGTGTTCGTGGGGCCCTCGCTGCGCCTGGTGCTGTGCTGGGCTTTGGGGCGAGCACCATGCTGCACGGCCCCTGCCCGCCAGCCCCTCACAGTCAGGCGGGAGCCGAGGGGCCCTATGGGAGTGAGCGGTCCCGGAGGACGGAGTTTCGAGGGGAGAGGGAGGGGCCGGGTCCTCTTTGCTGGTTGTGGAAGGATGGAGTGGGAGCGGGGTGGCCCGCCTGAGGAGGAGCGCTGTTCCCACAGTGGCCAGTGCAGTGTCCGGTCGGGTAGCACCTGGGCAGGTGCAGGGCAGTCTGGGAGGCAGTTTGGTGCACGGTGGGGTTAGTTCGGGGGAGGGCACACTTAAGGAGCTGGACTCCTTGTAAGCCCCTGAGCTCCCCTAGAATCAAGAGGGAAGGAGCAGCCTCAGGGAGTGGGGTGGGGGAGCCGGCTGTGAGCCGAGCAGCGATGGTGAGCCTGCTGGGGCAGGGAGGGGCCCGGGGCACTGAGCGAGGGGTGACCGAGTGAGCGTCACTCTCAGCCCTGCAGGACCTGGAGCCCCAGCAGCTGCTGCTCTTTGTGCAGTCCTTTGGCATCCCCGTGTCCAGCATGAGCAAACTTCTCCAGTACCTGGACCAGGCGGTGGCCCATGACCCCCAGACCCTGGAGCAGAACATCATGGACAAGAGTAAGACTCGGGGTCCTCAAGTCTGCCGCAGACCCCGACCGAGCGCCTCGGGCCCAGCACGAGCAACAGGGATGGTCTGAGGGCGGGCACCCTGGCAGGATGTCAAGCCTGGAACACTCAGGAGAGGCCGGGCTGCCCTGTCCCAGCACGCCCCCAGCATTTGTACGTGCTCTGGGGTTTGACGATGGAGGAGCCACAGGGGTGTGCTCAGCACGACCTGGTCCTTTGCTAAAAGATCCTGTAGTTGAGCTTGTGAAACCCAGTGCTGGGGTGTCCAGGGGGCGGTGTTCCCAGCACAGATTTCTGTGGGGGTGGGGAGGCCCTCGCTCCTCTGGGGCTCAGGTGCTTAACCGCTGGCTGCTGGCTCGCAGATTACATGGCTCACCTGGTTGAAGTTCAGCACGAGAGAGGAGCGTCCGGAGGCCAGACCTTCCATTCCCTGCTCACAGCCTCCCTGCCCCCGCGGCGAGGTACTGGCTCATCCCCCCGCCTCACAGCTCAGCACATGGCACCGTGGGGCCTCCCCAGACCCAGGGCACACAGTCATCACCAGCCAGCATCCGGCTTCCTGTGTAAAGGCCCTGCTCCTCGCGGGCCCCAGCAGGCCCGAGTGAGGCTGGGGGTGGTTGGGGCGGGGCGTGTCGTCCCCCGCTGGAAGCCGGCCGGGGAGAGTCATCAGCTGAAGCCTCTTCCGCTTTCTCTGCAGACAGCGCAGAGGTGCCCAAACCCAAAAACAGCCCAGAGCAGCCTTCGGGCCAGGGCCGGACACGGGCTGTGACCCAGGTGCGGGAGCTTGCCCCCGAGGACGACCTGGCCAGCATGCTCCTGCAGGTACTGACGTGGCTGCCTGGGAGAGTCTCTCCAGAAGCGGGGTGCTGGGCCCAGATGGGGAGGGACTTCACCCCGGAACTCCACATCCGCGTGGGGGTGCTCTGGAGCCAGCGGCCCGGCCAGAGCAGGGCGACTGCAGACGAGCTGCGCACCTGCCGCGTGCCTCGCTGCGCTCACCCGGAACGGCGGCTGTGACGGAGCCCCTGCAGCTGGGCTGTCCGCTGTGTTCCGCCCCGAGAGCGGTGCCTGCAGGCGCCAGGCCTCTGTGGGACTGGCCCAGGTGCCACAAGCCCTCGGCCAGGAGCGGAGTCCTGACTTGCTCTGCCGACGAGGGCGCTGCTCCTGCTAGAGCGGACGGTCCCCGACCTTCAGCCTGTCCGGAGTTGTGCGTGTAGAATGGTCATACGAGCGCTCGCTCCCGTGCCTCCACCTCTTGTGGATGCGCGTGCTCACGTGCGGCCCGTGGCCCGGGGTCCTCCGCGTGGGTGCTCACCTCCTCACCCTGTGACTTTCGCTGCCGAGCGCGTCTCTCCCTGCTCGCGCGCCTGCACGCTCGCTTTCTCTCGAGTGGGTTTCTCTGTAGTCCCGGGGCCGTGCTTGGAAGGGGCCCCGCCCTTATCCTCTAGCTGCAGTCTGTGCGCACCCTCTGGGGTCGGGGTCCCGCTCTGAAACGGAGGGGCCCACGTTTGCAGGGCGGTGGGCTTGCCTGCGGTCTCCCCCAAGTGGGGCTCCCCGTGCAGGCCCCTGTCAGGAGTCCCGGGCACCTGCTCTGTGCCTCCTTGGGGCATCCGGCAGGGACGGTGGGCTGCCGGCGGCACCCCGGCATAGCCTGGCCAACCGAGCGCCAGCGCTGGGCGCAGGGCCTACCTCTGCCGCGCGCGTCCTCCTGACGCTGCCCTTTGCTCTGCTGCAGATCTTCCCGCTGAGCCCCGGGCCGCGGTGGCAGAGCTCCAGCGCCCGCCCTGCTGCCCTCGCGCTGCAGCAGGCCTTGGGCCAGGAGCTGGCCCGCGTCCGTCAGGGGAGCCCTGAGGTGACGGGCGTCACTGTGCGCCTCCTGCAGGCCATCGCCACCCTGCTCAGCTCCCCGCACAGCGGGGCCCTGGTGATGTCCATGCACCGGCGGCACTTTCTCGCCTGCCCTCTGATGCGCCAGCTCTGCCAGTACCAGGTGGGTGTGTGTGGCAGAGCCCGGGGGCCACGCGGGAGGGCCGCTGCGCGTCTTCCAGGGCCTCGTGTCCACCCACAGCCGCCCCGGGCTCTGCCAAGCATCCCCATTCTGTCCGTCTGTGGGCCTTGGCGTGTGGCGTCTCAGGGACGGAGGAAGCAGGCCCCTGCGGAGCGGGGCGTGGAGCCCGCAACTTGGCTTCCCGAAGCTTTCCAGTGAGCAGGGGGCAGCACCGGGGATCGCTCCCAGCCCACGCGTGTGCCCCGGGTTTTGCAGTTTTGCCGTATCTGCTTCTCAGCTTGCGTGAACGTGTGAACGTGTTGATGTTTGTGTCCATGCGCGTATGTGTGGTGTCTTCTTTCTGAGCTGCACGACGGTGGGTCACAAACAGTAGGGGACCTCAGTAGCCATGGGGCTTGGAAGGATCTGTCTGAGGCCCTGGTGCCCCCGGGCAGCGCGATGGCCAGAGACTCTGTGCTGGCCCCGCGCTGGTCCCGGCGCCTGCGCTGAGCTGCGGGTCGTCCCCACAGCGCTGTGTGCCCCAGGACACGGGCTTCTCGTCACTCTTCCTCAAAGTGCTCATGCAGACGCTACAGTGGCTGGACGGCCCCGCTGGGGAGGGGGGGCCCCTGCAGGCCCAGCTCAAGCTGTTCGCCGCCCAGTACTCAGCACGCCACAGGATCAGCGACGGTGAGGGCCGGCCGACTCCTGGGGAGTGGGCCCTCGGGCTTGCTGTAATCCCCCAGGGGCAGTGGGGAGGGGGCGATAGCCTCGTTATACAGGGGTGTCAGCCCCTGGGGTCTGTGGGCCCCGATGGGCATCGGTGTGGATGTGGCCGAGGGTTGGAAAGCTAGGGCTTTGAGGAGCAAAGTAGGATCCTTGGCAGGAAGTGCGTGAGGCCTGGGGGCTCCTGGGACAGGGCAGGCCACGGGAGTGGAGACAGAGGGCTGTCCCCTGGCTTACACACATGCTTCCCTGCAGTGCGGAGCGGGCTCCTGCGCTTAGCCGAGGCCCTGGCATTCCGAGGGGACTTGGAGGTGGTCAGCTCCACCGTCCGGGCTGTGGTCACCACCCTCAAGTCAGGGGAGAACTGTGGCGTGGAACCCGAGCTTGTCGGCAAAGGTACCTCGGGGCCGGGCACTGTGAGGACCCCCAGCTTGGCTGCAGAGCACAGAGGTCCGTCTCCCAGGTGCCCCCAAAATGGGGCCTGTGGAGAGGAGTGGCAGTCAGCCAGGAAGGCCCCACCCCCGGCAACGTAGCCCTGGCCTGGGCTCTGCTGTTGGGGTTTTGTGCGTGCGGTGAGCCCACCCCGGTGATGGACTCAGGCCGAGCCACGGCTCACCACTGGCCACCCTGGCCTGGGCACACACGGGCATTGCTGGCCTTGGGGGGCCCGGGGGCTGTCCGTCCTGGAGTCTGGTGGTCTGGGGCCTGTCTGTCGCCCGCGCTGGAGTGACGTGGAACACGCTGTTTTCCCCGCAGTCCTCCAGGGTCTGATTGAGGTGGGGTCGCCTCACCTGGAGGAGCTGCTGGCTGCGCTCTTGGCCCCCGCCCCTACGTCTCCGACCTTGCGGCCCGTTGCCGTGGTGAGCTCCCTGCTGTTGCAGGAGAAGGAGCCCCAGGCCCCAGGGGAGTCGGAAGCCGACAGCTGCAGGTAAGCTGGCGGGGCCGCGGCCAGTCTGTGAGCGGCCCTGGCAGGCCGTCTCTGAGCCCTCCCTGCTTTCCCTTCAGCCTGGAGCCCATACAGCTGGGACCCTGCTCGGGGCTGCTTGTCGACTGGCTGGAGATGCTAGACCCGGAGGTGGTCAGCAGCTGCCCTGACCTCCAACAGAGGCTGCTCTTCTCCCGGAGCAAGGTGGGCTGTGCTCCCCTCCGAGGACTGATGGCCGGCACTAACCTGGTGTGGTGGGTGCTGGGGTCCCGCGGCAGCCCTTGCCTGGACAGTCTCTTTGTGTTGGTTCCAGCAGAAGCCCGGGCCTGACGCTCACTGGCCCGGATGGGTGTCCTGTCCCCGGTGACCAGTCACTGCAGCGGCCGGATCTGGTTGCTTGGGGAGGAGGGGGACCAGCACTTTGTGGCCCAGGGCCTCCTGCAGGGACAGGAGGCACCGTGGAGAGTGGAGACCGGCACCCCGCTGGGGATGGGTCCCCCAAGGAGCCTGTGGGGCCCTGTGGGGAGGGACTGGGCGTCTCAGAGACCCCCGATCACCCTCCGGTGTCCCCGAGTCTCTCAAGGTGCTTGCATGGCCGGTGGCCTTTGGACAAGACCCTGAGAGTTCTGGGAGCAGGAGTTGGGGATTTGGGTTTGTTCGTGTGCACTCGCTGTCTCTGAGGAGCTGGTTTGGGTCAGCACACGTTGCATCTACAGCGCGCCCCAGCTGGGCCCCACGTGGTCCAGGGGCTGCCAGGGCTGCATTCCAGGCAGGAGCTCTGGGTCTTTCTAGAAACATCCCTCTTCCTCTATTTTCCAGTGGTTCGAGGCTAGGTGGCCAATCAGCCTAGCAGGGACCATCCCCAGTGTTCTTCCTCCCCAGGGCAAAGGTCATCCTGGCCCCCAGGTGCCGTCTTTCCGACCCTACCTGCTGGCCCTCCTCACTCACCAGTCCAACTGGTCCACGCTGCATCAGTGTATCCGCATCCTGCTGGGCAAGAACCGGGAGCAGAGGTGAGCACCCTTCACCCTCCCCGCACCCTGGCAGGCAGTTGGCGGCAGCATCGAGGGGCCCTCTGGGCATCTGACCCAGCGTTCCCCTCACTGGCACCCTGGAGGGGGTTCCTGCAGTGGCTGTCACCACCGTGGGGGTACAGAGCCCACCTGGTCCAAGTGACCCTGCTCTGGGCGACCACCAGCGCAGACGGTCCACTCCTCGGATGGTGTCCGTGGCTGTTGTCCACTCTGTATGCAGGGGAGTCAAATGCCCACCTTGTGTGGCCAGTGGGCCTGGAGGGTGGGCGGGGCCAGTGTTGGTTTTGCTGGTGTGAGATGGGGACGTCAGGAGGGGCGGGGCAGCGCAGCACACGTCCTGGAACAGCTGACCTGGCCGTACCTAGAGAGCTGATCGGGAAGTGGTGTTTGTGGTCCGAACCTGATGTCACCACAGCTCGTCCTACCCTTTGTTCTCCTCTCTCGCCTGGAAACTGAGGCAAAGCTCCCGCGTCCTTGCAGGTTTGACCCTTCAGCCTCTCTGGACTTCCTCTGGGCCTGCATCCACGTTCCACGGATCTGGCAGGGAAGGGACCAGCGCACCCCTCAGGCAGGTGTTGGGGCGCGCTGCCCTGCAGGGTGGGGTGAGGCGTGCGCGGGCCTGGCCGGCCGGCCCTGCCACTCACTAGCGGTGCTGATTGCAGAAGCGGCGGGAGGAGTTGGTGCTGCGGGTCCAGGCGGCAGAGCTCATCGGCCTGGTGGAGCTGATCCTGGCGGAGGCGGAGGCCAGAAGCCAGGACGGGGACGCCGCCGCCTGCAGCCTCCTCCAGGCCCGGCTGCCCTTGCTGCTCAGCTGCTGCCGTGGACACGACGAGAGCGTCAGGAAGGTGACGGCGCACCTGACGGGCTGCATGCAGCAGTGGGGCGACAGGTGAGGCTCCCCCTCGCCCGCGGGCCCCGGGCCGCCGCCCGCGGGAGCCCGTCCACCCAGCAGCCCCGACCCGTGTCTTGCAGTGTGCTGGGCAGGCGCTGCCGGGACCTGCTGGTGCAGCTCTACCTGCAGTGGCCGGAGCTGCGGGTGCCCGTGCCTGAGGCCCTGCTGCACAGTGGAAGTGCCACGGGAAGCAGCACCTGCAAGGTGAGCCGCGGCTGGGGGCGGCCCTGACGAGGGGGGCTCGCCACCACCCCCGCTCTTCACTGCTGGGGTGCAAGCCCAAACCAGGTCCTGGAGAAACGCAGTTCCTCAGTCGTAAGAACCAAAAAGGACACGAGTGCTGTTGGCGCGTCTGGGCGGCCGTCCTCCTGGGCGCCGGGGGGCAGAGCGCGCCCTGCGCCCCTCGTCTGTCGCACCTCTTGGAGGGCCCGGAAGCGGTCTTTTCTCCTTCGAGCAGCCCCCCGGCTGTGGGGCGGAGCAGAGGGGCCGGCCGCCTGCACCCCCGGTTCTCCGTAAGGCGCTGTGACGCACAGCTTGCTGCCCGGTGGCGGGCATCTGACCCAGCGGCCCCCTGGCTCGTCCCTTACGCATCCCCCGTCAGCCCAGAGTGTCCCTGCGCCCTCCCCGCCCCTCCCAGGCGAGGACCCCGGAGCTCGCGCCGCGGGAGCGTTCTGTCCGGGCGGTGAAGGCCCGCACGCCTCGCTAGCCATCTTCCGCTCCGCGTGGTCCCGGGACCTGGCTGGGCTGTGGGGTGTCGCACCGCGCGGCCTGACCAGCCTGCTTCAGACGGCGCAGCCGCGCGCTCGTGCGCAGGTCTGCGTGCCATCTGCCCTCACTGCCTTTGGGCGCATGTGGGGGGCGCGCGCAGGGTGGGGGGGGCGCGCACGCATCTGACGGGTCTTCCGCACTCACTTCCGAGGTCTGGCCTCGAGTAGCGTTTGCTCTTTGTCAGTTCAATGCTGGGAAGTACTCTTTTTTTATGACCACGTTTCCTTGTGTTTTTTTATGCATATTTGGACAGCTGAGGTCATGCTTCGTACGCCATGTTAGTCTCGCATGTGAATGCACATAGTGACCTGGCGTTCAGTGAGAGTGTCTGTCTGGTGTAGGGGTTGACTTTCAGTACCGTCTGTGCGGTGCTCTGGGGGCTTTGGCTTTGGCCTGTTTGACGTGCACCCAGAAAGCACGGGGCCCAGGGTGGGGGGGGGCGACAGCTTTCTCTGGTCACCCTGCAGCTATGCCAGGTCTTCAGGGAACCTGGGGCACCCCCCCCAGTGAGCCCCGTCGGGGGCCCTTCTGCGGTGGGCTCGCCCCATGTGGGGCAGGCACGTGAGACGCCAGGGCTGTGGGCAGTCCCTGGCCCTCACTGCCCCCGTCCCCTCAGCTGGATGGCCTCATCCACCGCTTCATCACCCTCCTCGCGGACACCAGCGACTCCCGGTCGTCGGAGAACAGAGTGGCTGACGCTAACATGGCCTGCCGGAAGCTGGCTGTGGCCCACCCCATCCTGCTGCTCAGGTATGGAGGCCCCAGCCGGCCCTTCCCACCCCAAGCCCAGCAGGCCCTCCGGTGGTTCTTCACGTCCTGCTGGCGCTCAGGTGCTTGTTCAAGAGCGGGGTCGGAGTCTAAAAGCTTCCTTGTGGACCACAGGGCACAGTTAACGGCTGTCGGCTTCTTCCTGACGGAGCCAGAGCTGGGCCCAGGGAGAGCCCTGGACGGTGGGTCAGGAGGAACACCACCTCGTAGACCCAGAACCGGGTGGGACGGACAGGGTGGCCAGGTTGCAGGTGGACACGTCTGCGAGCCCTAGGCCGCGTGGGGAAGCCGGGGTGTGCCTGTGTGTCTCGTGTCCCCGAGCGTGCGTTTCCTGCGGGGTCTGGCAGGGGTGCTGGATTTCTGGGGGAGCGGACCATGAGCGCTCTCCGTTGTCCCCAGGCACCTGCCCATGATCGCTGCGCTCCTTCACGGCCGCACCCACCTCAACTTCCAGGAGTTCCGGCAGCAGAACCACCTGACCTTCTTCCTGCACGTGCTGGGGGTCCTGGAGCTGCTGCAGCCGCAGGTGTTCCAGAACGAGCACCAGGGGGCGCTGTGGGACTGTCTGCGCTCCTTCGTCCGCCTGCTGCTGGTGCGTCCGCCCGTCTGCCTGGGCAGTGGGGACGCTCCCCAGGCCTGTGTGCCCCTGTCCCTCCTCTGCGGCCCCCGCCACTCCCACCCCCTTCTGCTCCCTGGCCCGGGCCTGACCTGGCTCCGGGGGCACCTGCATCAAGGGCCGGCCAGGCCGCCTGTCCGGTGGCTTCTGCCACCCGCCCTGGGGACCAGCTCCCCGCTTGTCGTGTGCCCGGGGAAGGCCCGTGCTCTTCGGGGGGCCGGCCGGGAGCCGCCGTCGGGCTCAGTGCTGCCTTCCCTGCGGCCAGCTGCTGTTGCGTGCTGTGCTCGTTAGACACCTGCCTGGCCGCACTGGCGGCTCACGAACGGCAAGGCCAGTTTGAACATAGGGCCCAGCGCCCAGCAGATGGCATTGCGGGCCTCCGCGGTCCGTCCTGAGGCCCGGGCAAGTGTGGTGGGCGGGGCGGGGGCGCTCCGGCTGTGAACGCACGGCTTCCGCTTTGCAGAGCTACAGGAAGTCCTCCCGCCACCTGGCGCCCTTCATCCACAAGTTCGTGCACTTCACCCACAAGTACGTGACCTGCAACGCCCCGGCGGCCGTGTCCTTCTTGCAGAAACACGCGGACGCGCTGCAGTGAGTTGTGTGTGTGTGTGCACGTGTCCGGCCCGCACAGGCTCCGTCTGGTGAGGGTCCAGCTGCAGGGCTGCAGGGAGGCACGTCCATGCTCGGGTCAGGGGCTCCCGAGGTGGGGGCGCATGCAGTGCGGGAGCCCAGGGTGGCGGGGGCTCGGGCCGCGGGGCTGCGTCTGTGCGGCACCGTTCTGAACGCGCTTCCTGAAGGCCTGGCCTCCTCCCCGCCCGCCCGCCTGCCATCTGCGGCGTCTTCCTCACGGAGAACCTGTGCTCCCCCAGCGACCTGTCCTTCGACAGCAGTGATCTGGTGATGCTCAAGTCCCTCCTTGCAGGGCTGAGCCTTCCCAGCAGGGATGGTAGAGCCGACCAGGGCCTGGACGAGGAGGGCGACGGTGAGTGGGACCCACGGGGGTTCTGCCGGGAAGGGGCTGCAGGCCTGGCAGCCCCCGGGACCAGCCCCCGGGACACGTGTCCCTGTGGCGTGTCTGGGCCGCAGCGGGGCTGGCACTGCTCCTGCTGTGAGGTCACGCTCCGTGCGGCGGGGGAGAGGCTCGGGGAGAAGAGTGCTCTCTCCCAGGCAGGTCCCAGCGGGCTCACGGTTCCCGCACGTTTGTTGAGCGCCCACTGCGTCCCGGGCATCGTGCTCGGGCCTGGGGCAGTGACCGCACCTTCTGGACTCGGGGGGTTCTGGGGGCTGCTTGGCAGGGACGGCCCTTGCTTACAGGCGGTTTCTGGAGCCTGGGTGTTGGGTGCTGGCAGGCCGCTCCCCCCGCCCCCCCCGCCCCCCCGCCGGAGCTCCCACAGGCCCTGGGCGGGCGGTGTTGTCTTCCGTCTAGCAGCACTAACTCCCTGGCTTCCAGAGGAGAACTCGGCTGGCTCCCTGCCCCTGGTCAGCGTCTCCCTGTTCACCCCCCTGACGGCAGCAGAAATGGCTCCCTACATGAAGAGGCTTTCCCGGGGCCAGACTGTTGAGGGTGAGTTTGGGAACCTGGCTCCTGCCGGCCAGAAGACAGCAGGGTCCCTACCAGGCTGCAGGAGGAGCGGGGCTGTCTCCTCATGGTCGGGGGGCAGAGAAGGCCTTAGGGGGAAGATGCAGGGGCTCGAGGCGGGGACGGGCTACTCTGCTGGGGGTCTCGCTGGGCAGCAGGCTGCAGACAGCAGGAGATCGGGGACCCCTGGGGCTGAGGGGCACCTGCAGAAGGGAGGCCTGACCGCGGGCTGGTGGGGGGGGCCCTCAGTTTGCAGGGGAACGGAGGGCAGGGCCGCTGCGTGAACATGGGCTGTTGGGCACACCGTGGTGCTGGTGGCCCCCAGAAGTGGGTGTGCGCTTAGGGGTCGGTGTCCCTGTGCAGAGAGGAGCACCGGGAGCCGGGTGCTGCCTGGCAGGAGGAGTGGCTCTGGGAGGCCAGGGACAGGCAGCTGGGCAGGGTGGTTCCAGCACGGATCGCTGGCCTCCTCAGACCTGCCAGACAAGGGCTGGGGGGGCCTGCACCTCTGAAAGCCTCCCGGTCAACCAGCGACTATTTGGGGTTGCTGGCCTGGTGGGACTGGGAAGCCGGCCCAAATCCCGGTGCTTTTCATCCTGAGGTGCTGGGGACTCCCGGGCTTACCCAGCACTCAGGAGGCATGGAAGGTTCCAGAGGGCACTGGCGCCAGCATTCGGACGGGCCACACTGCAGCCGGAGCACCAGGGGTCCTGCTGCCGCGGAGCCTGTGCAGAGGCGAGACCGGGTCCCTGTGGAGCCCCCGCTCTGCCCCTGCCTGGCAGGCGGGGTGAGGACCCGTGCGGCCTGGGGGTCCTGCCACAGCTCAGGCTCTGCTCCTGGAGCTTGCCCCCTCCTGCCTCTGGGTTGCTTGGGGACACGGGTCTGGCCGTGAGTCCAGAGGCTGTGACGTGGCCCTCACGTGCCCCTCTGCTTGTCTCAGATGTGCTGGAAGTCCTGAGCGACATAGACGAGATGTCTCGGCGGAGACCTGAGATCCTGGGCTTTTTCTCGGTGAGTGAGCTGGGGGCCAGGGGAGCCCTCAGCCCTCTGGTAGGAAGCGTGCTGGGCTGGGGGGACGGTGCACCCCGTGTCTGAACCTGGTCTTGCCCCGGGTGCTCACAGTTGAGCTGGGAGCCCACCCCTGCTCTGGGCTGGAGCCTGCAGACCGCCAGTGCTTCCGGCCCCGGGTCCTGAGGCCGTGGCGGTGGGGGTGGGGCATGGGGAGCGGGGTCCCCTGCCGACTCTTTGCGGTTGCTGTCGGGAGGCCTGGGGGCTGAGGAGCTGAGCTCCTGACAGGAGGGGAGCCCCGGTAACACCCCCGCCCCCGCAGACCAGCCTGCAGCGGCTGATGAGCTCTGCTGAGGAACCCTGCCGCAACCTGGCCTTCGGCCTGGCCCTGCGCTCCATCCAGAACAACCCCAGGTGAGCCCAGCGTCCCCACCGCCGGACCCCGGCCCTGTCCCAGCCCTGCCTGCTGAGGGCCCGGCCGTGGTGCTCCAGGGTGATCTCGGGCGCGGGAGAGGTGCCCACCTGAGTATGCGCCTTCTCAGCTTTGCCGCGGACTTCTTGCCCACGTTCATGTGCTGCCTGGGCAGCCGGGACTTCGAGGTGGTGCAGACGGCCCTCAGGAACCTGCCCGAGTACACCCTCCTCTGCCAAGGTGAGTCCCAGCCTGTCCCGCCCAGGGTGCCCAGTGCCCCCAAGGCCTTCGCTCCCCGAGGCCTGGCTCTCGGGGGGCCCGGACGCCCTACTTCCGGGAGCCGCCTGCTCATCGGGGCCCGGACGTGTCCGTCCTGTCTCTCACACAGAGCACGCAGCCGTGTTGCTACATCGGGCCTTCCTGGTGGGCATGTACGGGCAGATGGACACCAGCGTCCAGATCTCTGAGGCCCTGAGGATCCTGCACATGGAGGCGGTGATGTGAGCCGGCCTGGCAGCCTCCCTCTGCTGGCCGCCTGCTGGTCCGCTCCGGGCGGGGGGGGCGCCGAGCCGCCACAGCAGTGCCCACGGCCCGTGGCTCCCTGCCTGCACAGTGATGGAAGCGGGCGCTGATGTTCCTGCGAGCCACGGCAAGGGGCTGGTTGAAATGAAACGTTCTGAATTCCCCGAGTGCTGGCTGCCTGGTCCCCTCCCTCGAGTCGCCTGGGGATTGATTAGGGCCCGGGAGGGGGAGCCCGTCTGCTGGCCTGGCCCACCCCTCAGCCCCCGCTCCCTGCTGTCACGCTGGTCTCCTCTCTGCTCCCGCTCTTGGGCAGGGTTTGCTGGGGGGCTCCCTTGGACCCAACTCCCGTCCCACCCCAGAAGGGGTCATGGGCCCAGGACCCTTGGCTGTGGGCATCCACGCAGGAGCCAGCTGAACCACGCCCTAACCCAGGACGATCCCATCCACGAGAGGGGGGCACCCCAGTGAAGCTGCAGTGCTGAGGTGGGGGCCTTGCCTGAGACTTTGACCTGGGGGCATGGCGGGGGCAGTGCCCCACGAAGTCAGCCCCTCCCATGAGGCCCCAGGGCCCCCCGCCCGCTCCCAGCAGCACCAGCGTTGCCCCACCTGACCCTCCGAGGGCTCCGGCTGCGCCCCCACCCCAGCAAGCTCCCCTGCCTGCTTCTGCTCAGCGGGGCCACCAGGGGGCGCCGTGCCTAAGAAAACGGCCCCAAAGCCGCTGGGCCTCGGCGCGGAGGCGGGATGGCCCCGGCTGAACCTCAGCCTCAGCCTCCGGGGGCGACTGGCCCTTGGGCGTGGTGAGAGGTGCCTGCTCCTTGCCCTCGCTCCAGAGGGCCCTGCACCCCGGCCTGGCCTGGCCTCCGCATGGGGACCGCTACGGTGCCCCTCCCTGTGTGGAGCAGGCTGGTGTTCCGTTCCTTCTCCCGAGCCCCTTCCTGGGCACCCTTGCTCCCTGGTCCTGAGCTCTCGGCGGTCGGCCTCTATCGGCCCTGCCCCCACGATGGCCCCTGGGTTCCAGATCCTGTCGTTTCTCACGTCCCTGTCCCGCGTGGCTCGCAGTGCCTAGCCTGGGGCCCGTGACCCTGGCCTGCCGCCCACTCCCAGCAGGCAGTCTCAGCCCCCACCCACTTCAGCCCTGAGACCCCGAGAAGGGCGGGCTCCGGGGGGGGAGGGGGGCGCCGGCCTGGCTGCTGGGATCATGTCACACGGTGCCCCAGGATGGGGCCTCCTCACCCGGGGCCCCAGGATCCCCGGCAGGTGGGTGGTGGGCTCCCCGTCAGCCGGTGCATGGAGCCCCTGGCACCGGAGTGTGGGAGGGGTCCCAGCAGGCAGAGAAGCAGGCTTGCCCATCTCTGGGCCTAAGGTCCAGGTCCAAGGGAGCTCAGGGCCCGATGCAGCCTGGGCCCCTGCCCACCTCGGCCTGGCCTCCCCTCCTGGCCCCCTCACTGCGTTGGCACGTGCTTCAGCCACCGGACAGAGAAGGGCGAGAGGCAGGGGCTCAGCTCCGCCGTGGGGGGTGCGGGAGCTCCAATAGCCCCCAGATGCGGCCCACCCCCCTCAGTGCGGCAACGACCCAGACGTCCTGGTGTGGGCGTGGGCAGGCCGGTCACTGGCATTGGCCATGGTGGCAGGAGTGGAGGTCACCAGTGGGACCACAAGGAGCCTGGGCACGCGGGCGAGACGCGCGGGGGGACAGCAGGGTCTGACGCCGGTGTGTGGGCTCTGGCCATCACGTGCAAGGGGCTCCTGGGACACTGGCTGTTACCTCATTGCCCGCAGCCCCGCTGAGCACCCGTTTCCGGGCACGCGGTCTCCGTGTTACGTGCCAGGAAACAGGCGCAAGACGGTAGCAGGCTCTGGGGCTCGGGACGGTACTGGCATGGTTGAGACGCGAGTGCAGGGGCCGTGGGGCCAGAGTCTGCCCCTGACCACCGGCTGTGCCGCTCCTCGCCTGGGGAGATGGACGGAGGTCCTGGCATCTGGGCGCCCAGCCGGGGCCAAGTGTGGGGGAAGGGGCGCCATAGGGGTGTGCATGCCCCCCGGTTCCCGGCTTTGTGGGCGAGTGAGCGCACAGAAGTGAGGATGCGTGGGGGCGGGGGAGCCCCCCACTTGGTGTCACCTCACCTCCCAGACGGCACACAACCTGCCCCTGCCCACTCGGCCCCAGGCCTGAGCGTGGGGTCTTTGCCCCCACAGGCCTAGCAGGTACCAGGAGCTCAGCCCAGTTAGGGCCTTGGATCCTGACCTCCCCGCCAGGTCAGCACCCTGGGCTCGCTGTCTTCTTGCTGCCCGTCACTCCGCGGCTAGAGGTGGGGGCCTGGCTTGGGGCTGCTCGGCGTTCCAGCCGGGCTCGTAGGGTGTGCCGAGCCGCTGAGGGAGGGAAGGAGGGCCGGTCTCTGGGAGTCTTGGCTCCAGACCCCGGGTTGGGAGCAGGGGGTGGGGGAGCTGTGGTGTGAATGTTCCTGCCCGGCCCTCACACCCGGCTGTCCCCGGGGGCTCCCACTGGTGAGACGGGCTGTCAGTGCCCGCTCGGGCTTCAGTCCTGGGCACATGACCCTCAGCAGCGGAGCTCCGGTCTCTGGGCCTCCGTTGCCCTGTCGCTGAGAGGGGCTGCACGCACCTACCTGCCAGGAAAGTGGAAGGTATTTGAGCTGAGGTGGCCACGTGAAACACGTGGAGGGGGTGCCCGGGTGCCACGGGGCAGCCGGTCATGGCAGCTGCACACGCCAGGCCTTCCAAGCCCCCTGGGGGCAGTGCGAGCGACAGCGGCAGCGTGGGGGCCTGGCACCCCGTGGGTGGCGAGCCGGGATTTGAACCTGCATTTGCTGCACCGTCTCCGGCGGACGTGCTGTGGACCTGGGACGCCAGAATCGGGGCTCGGCCCAGACGGACACGGAATCCGTGCAGGGGGCGGGGAAATGTGAAAGCAGAGGGTGTGCAGGTCACAGGGGTGGTGCTGCCCCAGGATGGGCCGACAGGTGGCCACAGAGCTCACCCGTGACCTTGGCCTCCGTCTCTCTGATCCCCCAAGCTCCTCAGCGGTGGCCACCCCCTTCCGAGCCCAGGGTCCCCAGGTCCAGCTGTGGGGGGGGACATTCAACAGGACCCCCGAGGATGGGTCCCCGTGCGTCTGTTCTCGATCAGCGAAGGCCAGTGGTGAGCCGGGTAGTGAGCTTCCCGTTACAGGGGCCAGTGTGGCCTGGACCGCTCTGGGGCTCCGAAGTAGTCCCGTGCCAGACCCGCGGCCCCCTTCGCTGTAGGAGAAGGGGCAGGCCCCGGGGAGGATGCCGGGCCAAGGCCAGCCCCACTGCAAGGGCAGCCAGTCCGGGGGCTTCCTTCGGCGGCGGCGGCGAAGGGGTGGGGCCGGGTGGGGCGTTGCCATGGTGACCGGCGCCTGGTTTCCCCAACAGCTTCAGGACAAACACCTGGTTTCCTTTTCAGTCCTGGGAAGGGGTGGGCCCTGACCGGCCTGGATCTCTCCCCACCAGGTCCCCAGGGCCCGTGTCCCCACGTTCACCCTGGGAGGGCTGGCTGACGTCCCCATTTCACGGATGAGGGCAGCGAAGGCTCACAGGGCAGACCCGCGCAGGTCCTGGGTCAGGACCTGCCTCCTTATCTCCTTAAAGCAACCGAGGACCGACCTGGTTAGGCCCAGCCAGGCCGAGGTAGGGTTATTTCAGGTGTGGGCGGGGAGGGCGTGGTTTAAGGCCTCCCCGGGGCCTGCTGTCCCCTCCCTCCCTGGATGAAGGACCTGCTGGGAAGGCTCGCTCTGGGAGGACGGAGGGACGGAGGGACGGAGGGAATGCTCTGGGAGGACTGTCCAGTTCCCTCATCCCAGAGCCCACTCACCAGTCCAGACCCCAGTGCCAGTTTGGCCCCCAGGGGCCCCACAAGGCCCATGCGCGGGGAGTCAGGAAGAATTCACAGAAGGTAGACTGCCAAGTGGGTCTGGAAGGATGAATAGGAGTTTTCCAGGGGAGGACCCTGCTTATTAACCTACAGTCGGAGCCACAGGGCTCTCGTCTGTCTTCGGGTGTGAGTGGTGATGAGCGCACGCCCCGGTTCTCTGCCTGGGCCCTCCTGGCCTGGGGGGGAGGGTGGGGCTCAGTGGGGAACAAGGGGCCGGCCCGCACTTGCTCTGGCAAGTGGTTTGGTCCCACCCGTTCCAGATGGGAAGAGGAGGCCCTAGGAGGAGGCGGCGGGGGGACGTCCCAGGCCACAGGCAGAGAGAGGATCTGGGTGAGCACAGGACGTCAGCTGCAGGGCCCAGGGTCCCTGTGACCGTCCCAGGGCTGACGGCCACCTGCTCTGCACACCTGGACTGCTGCCCCTGGCCTCAGCCTCCCTGGGGGGCCTCCTGAGGATGCGGAGGTGGAGCTGGGGTACCGTGGAGGGGCGGCTGGGTCCCAAAGACCCCTCAGACCCTCTCCTCCCTGGTCAGCGTTACAGCCTGCATCTCACAAGCCCACGGGCCAGACTTGCAGCCCCGAGAGCCTTTGGGATGCGTGTGACTGCAGGAGCTGAGGGGCTGCCAGGTCAGAGGCCAGTGTGCGGGGTCCCCACCCCAGGTGCCCCCGCCCCGGGTCCTCCTGACCCTGACTCTCTGAGCTCTCCAGTCCTGCTCCCGTAAGACCAGGGGCGGCCTCGCCTGACCTCTCACCCCCAGCCTTGGGATGGGTGACCCTAAAGGCACAGACCAGGCGGGGCTCTAACACCAGCTCAGCCGTGGCCTTGGGCAAACCCCTGAGCCTGCGTCTGCGTCTGTGAGACGGGCCTGAAGGTAAAGCCCCAGGTTCAGGGTGGCAGTGAGCGGCGGCTGACCCAGGAAGTGCCCAGTGAATGACCGGCTCTGAACAGAGACGTGCTGTGATCTGGCCAAGGACACACAGCCATCAGAAGCGGCTGGGCTTCCATGGGCCCTGGGCCTGCCGCCCGGCCACCCCCCCGCAGCCCCCGTGCGCTCTGTTTACCAGGGGCTGGGTGGGCCAGGCCTCATTACAAGGGTCTCCTATAAATGGCGTGAGGAGGATTAATAATGTATTTATAACACATCGTCGTGGTAGCCGAAAAGGATCTATAAATGTGCGGTAAATGTTTTATAATGTTTTTGTAACCCGTTATAAATGATAAATGGCAGACTATAGATGCTGGATCAAATATTTATAACGCATTGTGTGCGACGTTGGGCTGCTACAGTTCAGGAAAGCCATTAATAATAAAGTGGATGGAAATGGAGAAGTTACCGACATGCCCGGCAAAGCCATCTGTAATGAAATGTAAAATTTGGCTGTTGGAAGCAACCCACGAGCCCTTGCCGAAGCACTGGCCAGGCTCTCCCCCAGCCCAGGAAAGGAGTGGGGTCGTGAATTATTTGTGAAGTATTCCGACGAGAATGTATGCTATCCATAGTATGCCAGATAAATATGCTATTAATATACCCCAGGCGGCATGCATTATTCATTGGGCCTAATTAATTAATGGGTGGCCCCTGAAAATGGGGTGTCACAGCTTCTAGTCCCTCTCCTGCCTGGGGCCGCAGGCTCAGCGTTGGCATCCACGGCGGCCTGGGTGAACCCGTGGATGGCACCAGGGGTGACCAGCCTTGAGAAGTGGGGGAGAAAGGACATCCCTGATGATCTGCTGTGAGGCCAGCGTGACCCCCCCAGCCGTCCTTCCTGTGCAGGCCGTGTGCAAGGGGGCTGTGGTCCACTCCAGGGGGGCTCTGCCCACCTCGCCCCACGAGTGTCCATCTCCTACAACCACGATTGCCGTGGCCCAGGCAGGGAGCCATATCTCCGCCGGCCACCTCTGGTGCCATCCTCCCTAAACACCCAGGGATGAGAGGCCCTGTCTTATGGTGAAGATGAGGAAGCCCCAGAAGTGGGGAGCCTTCCATAGGGTCCCCAGGCAAACCGGTGTCTGACCGAGATCTCCAGCTCGGCCGGCCCATCTGATGCCAGGCTGTGTCCTGAGGGAATCCCGGCCCCCGCTCCTGTTCTGGGACCCATTCTCACAGCAGGGGTTCTGTGGGCACCCCTGTGCAGTGTGGCTGCTCCTGTGGGTGTACTGCAGTACATAAAGGCTCTGAGAAGTCCTGCAGGGAGAGCTGCAGGGACAGGCCACCTCCCTTTGTTCTCGAGCACCCCGCGCCCCCCCCCGCCCCGCCCCCCAGCCATTCCCTCTCTCCTGGTTTCTCCTCTGCCTCAGAGGCTTAAGGAGCTGCTGTTCCCGCTTGGCCCATCAGCCCTGGGTCAAATTAGTTACTTGGGGTGGAATCCAGTTGACAGGTCTACGGGCCCCGCCCCACCTCTGGGACTCTTCCTGGGGCCCAGTAGCCAATGTCTCCTCCAGAAGCTAAACTGACGCACAAGCTGGAGTTGGCTTTTGGATGGAGACTAGTGCTGCCTCTGGCCCTGTCCCTCCCCTTCCTCCCAGGGTGGGCCCCCATCATCACCAAGAGGGGCAGAATGTTCTGGAAGCAGGAGGTGGAGGGACTGACACTGTCTGACCTGGAAGTCCTGCCCCCAACCAGGGTGATCACTCGGGCAGGACGACGGCCTGTGCTGACCCAGGCTCCTCCTGTCCTCACCCCACGCTGGGGCCGGGGCCCTTCCGGGTCAGGTCTTCCCGGCTGGTCAGGTGGTCCCTTCTCTTCTTGGGACCTCAGTTTCTTGGGCTGCAGGAAAGGTATGATCAACCCACTTTTTTTCTTTTTTTTTTTTTTAAACATAGGGCTTAGGGCGCCTGGGTGGCTCAGTTGTTAAGCATCTGCCTTCAGCTCAGGTCATGATCCCACATCGGGCTCCCTGCTCAGCGGGAAGCCTGCTTCTCCCCTCTCCCCCTGCTGGTGTTCCTGCTCTCGCTGTGTCTCCCTCTCAAATAAATAAATAAAATCTTAAAAAAAACAAACAAACACAGGGCTTGAACTCGAAACCCTGAGATCAAGAGTCGGACCCTTAACCACCTGAGCCACCGGGGTGTCCCTGATCAACCCTCTTTTAAAGGGTGGCTATATTAAAAGGGGAAATAGGTGTGAAAACTGATAGGCTGGCGGGCCCTGCTCCCTCCTCCCCAGCTCCTCCGTGGGAGCTACATTTGCCTTTTGCATTCCTCGCACCTTCATTCCTGCCTCAGGGCCTTTGCACACACCATTCCTTCTGCCTGGGAAATTCTTCCCTGCCCTCTTGGATAAGTTCTCTCCGCTATCCTTCAGGGCTCAGTTCCCGTGCTCCCTCCTCAGGGATGCCCCCTCCCATCTTCTGAACCAAGACAGGGTCCTTCTTTTACCACTGAGTGACTGGCACCCCGTGTCCCCTTGAGGTGCCGTCCCAGGTGCACTTTCGCCTTTGCTTGTGCATGTGTCATGGGAGGGGAAAGCCAGCTAGCCGCCGCAACAAACATCCCAAAGTGCCCGCAACTGAACCCAGTGCGCATTTGTGTCTCACTCGCTCGGAGGCCCACACAGCTGTTCCTGGTCAGTGAGGCCTCGGCCTCCCCCTGCGTGTCCTGTGCATCCGGCTGGCAGACCAGGCAAGATGGTGAGTCTGGAGGTGTGCACGTCCCCTCCGTTAGCCAGAACTCAGCCCTGCGGCCCCACTGTCCTGCAGGAGGGGCTAGATTGGCTCCGGCAGGGGAAAGCGTGAATGCGGAGGTCAGAGGCAGGACCAGGAGCACATGGCGGGGGGGGGGGGGGGGGGGGGTGCCCGGCTGGGGGAGGAGAGGTGGGAAAGGCCCCGGCTGGGAGGAGGGGAGGATGGCTGATTTGATGGCCCGCTACGAGGACAGGACCTTCCTGGGGAGCAGCGGAGGGCGTGAGCAGGAGCGGCACGCTCTCACCCCCGTTGTTACAGATTTTGTGTTGAGAATCCGTTGTAGGTGGCAAAGCAGATGCAGGGTCAGAAGTTGCCGGTGGGAATCCAAGCTCACATTGGGTGGTGGCAGTGGTTGGTCTCCTGCTGGACTGCATGTGGGCATCGAGCGGATAGGAAGGAGCCATCAACCACTGTGGGGCCAGCCGTGGGCGGGGCCTGTTTGGGGTCCTGGAGGAGGGGCTGAGTTCAGGGGACCAGCAGGGCAGAGGCTCTGAGGCCAGAAGGGGAAGGGTAGGGTGCAGGGACGGTGAGGCCAGGGAGGGCAGGGGTGATAAGGACGGGGAGGCATGACAAGTGGCCTGGACTTTATTCTGAGTGCTGCAGAGGCCAAGCAGGAAAGTGCTTGACCAGTTCGCTTTCTAGAAATCTCCCTTGGCTGCTGGGGAGGGGTGGGCTATGGTAGCTGGAGGGGGGCAGTAGGGAGAAGTGGGTGGACTGGGGGTGCCCTGGCTTGGAGGTCCTGGAGAGCAGCAGGGCCAATGGAAGGACATGACGTGCTCATGGGGACGCCACCACAAATGCTGCTCCCCAAGTCACTGTCCCTAGAGGAAACTGCGTGGTGACCGGCGGTGGGGGCAAAAATGTAGCTTAAACCCCTGGAGACCAGAGCTCCAGCCATCCCCCACTCTTCCTTCTGAGGGAGGTGGGCCTCCAGCCCTGTGTGTCCCTTGTGAACCCCTGTGTCCACCCCCTGCCCTCCCCCCAGGCCTCTTCCTTCCTCACTGGCTTTTCCAGTTCTCCTAACTGCTGCCCTGGGGGTCAGGAAAACCCAGTTGGTTCCTCGTTCCAGGACCAGCCACCAGCCTGGCTAAACTGGCATGACACTGTCCTTTGTCCTCCTGCTGGGAACCCCCCCGCAGGTCAGGGCAGTAGTCATGGCCAGCCTTGATCCCAGGTCCGGGGGCTCCCTGTCTAGCACCTGCTTGCATGCCCCCTGTGATGGGGAGCTCACCACCTACACAAAGGCCTCACTCGCATTGCTGGGCAGCTGGATGTCCACCCCTCAGGGCCCAGCTGCTGGAAAGAGCTAGAATGCCATGTGCTGGGTCTGGCCTGGAAGACCTTGGTTTTTGCTCCTTCAACTGGGCATGGAGAAGCCACCCCTTAGCCCTGCCAGGGGCCAATCATGGGGAAACACCCTCCTTCCTGTGGGCCTTGTCTGGACAAGCCTTGGGGCTGGGGGGCGGGGAAGGTGAGGTCATCGCCCATTTCTGGCGTCAGTGTTTCCGGCTGTCCGGTGGCATGGCCTCAGCCAGGGCTCCCGAGAATGTGGAGCGGAGCCAGCCGGGTAACTGGGGGCCCCACAGGAGGGAGAACCCCATGACTTCTGTCACAGATGCTCACGGTGGAAAACCAGGACACAACGGACCAGCACGACCCCCGAGGGGCGCGGCGCCCCAGGAGCAGTTCCGTGGACAGGCCCGCGGGGGGAGACTCCTGGCGTGCAGGACCTGCCCCCGCGCCCCCCAACGCCGGCGGGGCCACTCGGGGACCGCGCCCCCTTCCCAGCCTCAGCGCCCCGGGCTGTAACCCGAGAAGCGGGACCGCGGCCTTCCCTGGCCCCCCGCCAGCGTGAGCACCCAGGAGGAAAAGTCCCCTGAAAACCCAGAAACGCAAGGGGCGTTCCCGCACGGGGTGGGGGAGGTCGGGGGGTCGGGGGCGGCCTCCCGAGGTCAAGGGTGCCCAGGGCCAAAGGCAGGCTGGGGCGCTCCACCACTTCCTAGCCTCAGTTTCCCCGTCTGTAGAGTGGCTCTGCCCCTCACTTCTCCACGATAGTTGGTTGCGGGGGCGTTGAAAAGAAAGTCCCAAAGCCGCCCAGGAGCAGTGCAGGGCGGAGGGGCCCGGACGGGAGGTGGGGTGGGCGTGGCTCCGGCGGGGGCGGGCCCTGGGGGGCGTGGCCTGTCTGAAGCGGAGCCTGGCGGGAGCGGGCCCTGGGGGCGGGCCCTGGGGGCGTGGCCGGCCCGAAGCGGAGCCTGGCGGGGCGGGCCCTGGGGGCGGGGCCGTGGCCTCCCCTGGGGGCGGGGCCTCTCGGGGGCGGGGCCTCTCGGGGAGGGGGCGGGCTCGGGCCGCACTCCCGCCGGCGGCGAGGCTGAGGCTCCCGGTAGTCCGCGGGGCTCCGGCGGGGCTCCGGCGGGGGTCGGCGCCGGGGGTCGGCGGGTCCGCCGCTCGGCGCGGGCGTCCGTCCGCGGCTCCGGGAGGCGCAGTTGGGGCCCCGCGGCCGCCGGGGCGCGCGCCGCCGCCCGCATGGCGGCCACCAAGGCGCTGCAGCGGTGGTGCCGCCAGCAGTGCGAGGGCTACCGGGACGTGAGCATCACCAACATGACCACGTCGTTCCGCGACGGCCTGGCCTTCTGCGCCATCCTGCACCGCCACCGGCCCGACCTCCTGTGAGTGCCCGCGGGCGGGGAAGCTGAGGCCGGGGCTGCCGGCGCCGCCGGGCGGGGCTGTGTGGGGAGCCGCGCGTCGGGGCGGCGCGGAGCGGGGTCCCTGCAGCCGCCACCCGCCGGGTGGCCTCAGTTTGCCCGTCCACCAGGTGGAGCTGGGCGGGGGCCGGGCCGGCCGGCCGCCCCCGCGGGCTTAGTCAGTCCGTGAGTCAGGCCGGCCGCCGGCTCCGGCCACAGCCGCTCCTCCCCCCGCCGCCTGCCTGGGAGAGAGCCGGCAGGGCTGCCCCCTGCGCCCCGCTGAGCGCGCTGCTGCGCACGGACCGCCCCCAGATCGGGGGTGCTGCGCCCCTGCCCCAGCGGCCGCCGCACCTTTCGGGATGCAGGCCAGGGGCACTGGGGGGGAGGGGCGGGCGCAGGCCGGCCTGGGCACCCTAGAGCGACAGGTATGAGGTGGAGGCTCAGCCCCTATCCCTGGGAGCCAAGGGACCCGGCCGGGAGTGGCCTAGGGCGACTCCCCAGGAGGGTCTTGGAGTGGTGGCTGGCAGGCTGGCCCTGCCTTGTCGCTGGATCTTGTCCCCTCGCTTGACCCACTACATCGGTTATTCACTCAGCAAACGCTCTTTGGCTGAGGGACTGGGACCAGGCTTGCTGGGGCAGAGGTCTGCGTGATGAGAGCCTGGCCCCCGACTCATGTGAACTGGAGATGGGTAAAGCGCCAAGGGAGGGTGCCAGGACTGGGGGGGGGGGCTGGGGTTCAGGAAGGCTGTCCTCAGAAGGCCACCTGCCTTCTGGAAAAAGCATGATGTTCAAAAGCATTCTGAGAAGCTGGGGCTGGATCCAGGGGTAGGGTGGGGTGTGTGTTTGCCAGGGAGGTCTTGGGGCTGGGAGAGGCCAGAGACAGCACCTCAGTGAGACCCCTTTCTGTATAGTTGGGGGAACTGAGGCCCAGAGACCAGACACCCTTGTTCAGGGCCCAGAGCATGTCCGCAGAGCCAGGGCTGGCCCTCGGCGCTCCTCCCCTGCACTCTGTACTCCCAGGCACTCTCCCGGGAAGCTAGTCTTGACAAAGGCCTACGCGTACTTCCTCCTCCTGCCCAAAGTTGTGAAATGCATTTGAGGAGCCTCCTGGGGAGGCCCCATGTGGCATTTGGGCAGCAGCTTCTGCCCCCTGCTCAGGGATGCACGTCAGTTACCCCTGGAGGCAGAAATGTTGGGCACAATGGGCTTTGATGGGTCGGTGGGCTAAGGATGGGACCTGGAGTGGAGGTGGACAGGCTGAGCCCACCTGGGAGCACGCAGGGTCCCAGGTGAGGCTGGCTGGGCCTGGACAGGGCAGCATGAGAAGCCTGCAGTTATAGGCAAATAGGGTATGGCCGTCTGCTGGCCAGCAGCCTGAGGACGACACAATGGGTGTCACTGGAAATTTGGGGCTTTTCCGAGCCCTGGGGGCTTCCATCTGCTCCTTGCTGCGCTGGATTAGAGGCCTGTGTGTGTGTGCGGCACATGGGCCTGTCCCAGCATGCACTGCCCAGGCGTGAGCACAGGTGTGCACTGTGGGTGTGTACCATGCGGGCACAAGCAGGCGTCATATAACCGTTCCTTTAACCGTTAATGAGTGCCTGCTGTGTACTCAGCACTGCCAACTGAAGAACATGGACTTGGCCCTGCCTCAGGGAGTGACATCGAGGACATCAGTTATCTCATTTACTGCTGACTTGGCTTTTGTCCACCTGCCCCGACTGGCCTTCAGCTCCAGGAGGGTGGAGATGTCTTTTTTGGTCACTGCCTGTCTTCGGTGCCTGCAACTATGTCTGGCACATGCCAGGTGCTTGGTAGATAGGAGCACATAGTCAGAGAGCTGCAGATAAGGGCATGCACTCGGGGCTCCGTAGGGATAGTAGGAGTCTGGGCTCTGCAGGTACCTGTTTGCAGGGGGCAGGGAGAGGAGGCCACGTGACCATGGAGCCCGAGATTGGAGTGATGGGGCCACAAGCCAAGGAACGCCTGGAACCCGTGGAACAAGGAACAGATGTCCCGCGAGCCTCCGGAAGGAGCACGGCCCTGCCGACGCCTTGATCTTGGACTTCCGGCCTCCGGAACTGGGAGGGAGTGGGTTTCTGTTTGTGGTCAGCAGAACATCAGCTTTTGATACGTGGCAGGTGCTGAAGGGGCTGGTGGAACACCGTGCACGTTGGTGGTGCTGACACACGCTGAGTGGGGGCACATGCACGGCCTTTGTGTGCCTTACACTCCCCTCCCCCGCCCCCAGGCCCCGTGCTGCACACCCACCCCCAGGGGTGCAGGGAGGGGAGGAAACACGCAGTAAGGGGTATGCCCAGGGATGCCGCCATCCTGGGGACGCTTCCGAGGCCAGACTGGGGCGAGCCCCCCCCCCCCATGCTCCCTGTCCTTCAGAAACCCTCTGGCCGCAGGAGAGTGGACATCCGGCTCTGTGTCTTCTGACTTTGCCACCAGGAAGGCCTTCCCTGCACCCCATTCCCAGCCTTCCTACTGCACCAGAGCTGCTTCCTCCCCGCGGCCTCCTGCCGGCACTGAGCCAGAGGGGGGGCGGTCAGCTGCTCCCACCCTACAGCTCCGCTCCTGCCCCTGCGCTCCTGCCCCTGCGCGGCTGGGTCATGCGGCACTGCCCCAGGAGGCGCATGCAACGCGCTGGTGGCCCCGCGGGGGCCCCCGGAGGTGTGTGTGGGTCGGGAGGCGGGCGCACCTGAGACGTCCCACCGGAGCTGGCCGGGCAGCACCAGCGCGGGCCCCTCCCTGGTCAACCTGCCCCCGAGTTGTGGGCTTTCTCGGGTGGGCCTCCAGGGTGCCCGCCCCAGGTCTGTTTCCCCAGTGACGCCTCCTCTGCCAAGCAGCCAGGTGAGCGCGGGAGCCGCCCAGGACAAACAGCCCCTTCCTGCCCCGGGCGGTAGACCTGTCAGGGGTGGAGCGCGTGGCCGGGCTCCTGCCCCTTCTGGGCTGACCAGGGGTGGCTGAGGTTTTCAGGGGAGACGCAGGAGGTAGGGGTGGCGGCTGCCACCAGGAAGGAGGGGGCAGGAGGCCTTCCCAGCAGCTGACAGAAGCACCCGGGCTTCCTTGGGCCTTTGTAGGGGTTGTGGACGGTGTCCCCAAGTGGGGGTTCTGCTGCAGACTCACTGGGCCTCCCAGCCCTTCAGCCCCATGGTGGGGGGACCTGATCTTTCTCAGGTCCCTCCAGCTCGGGAGGCCGATGTCAGGGCTGGGGCAGAGCCAGTGGTGGTGGAGTGTCTCCCTGGCCACGGCGGGGCTCCCTGAGACGCGCCCTGAGACTCGCACGTAGTCCGGAGTCAGGAGAGGCCCCCACCCAGATGCTCAGAGACAGCACTGCTTCCTTTCCTGGGCCAGAGCAGAGGGTGGGCTGGGCCCAGGCAGCTGGGCTGGCCTCCCCTCCCACACCGGCCTCTTGGCCAGCAGGAAGCTGCCTGGGGACAGAGGCCTTCTGTTCCCCAGCCTGAGGGCCTGCTGCCCAGGCCCCCGCGGCCGCCTTCCGGCAAGACTCTCCAGGATGGACATGGGGAGCGCTGCCAGCCCACCTCCTCGGGGCTACCCGGGGCCAGTGCCCTGTGATGCCCCCCCTCAGGCCACCACAGAAGCCCCATGGCTGACTCTTGGCTGGACCCTGCCCCGGGCCAGGGTTGGGGGTCAGGGTCTGCTCTGGCCTGGGGGAGGCCTGCAGCTGGGCAGCCAAGGCTGAGGGGTCTCACTTGTCCACCAGGTGCAAGGAGGTGGGGCCCTGAGCCCTGGGCCCTGCACCCACTGGGACCCTTCTCTCTGCCTCGGGCACCTGGTCATGTCCCATTCCTCCCCATGCCCTCCACCCGGCCCGAGATCTGTGCTAGCATGTGCCCAGCGTCTCCCTCCCCTTCTGCCGTGGGGCTTCGGTCTTGTCTGTGTCGCTCTCCATCTCTGTGTGTGTCCCCTCTTCCTCTCCACTCCCCTTTCCGGTGGGACTAACTCCAGATGTGCTGAGGGTGCCTGGAAAAGACGCCTTCCCTTAGGTCAGCCCCTCCCAGCTCAGCGCCCACCCCCCGCGTGGCTGCATTTTGTTCCGGGAAATAAACAGCGTGAGGTCAGCTCTCCAGGAATTTGGAAGGGGGTACACATTCCCAAGAGCCCCGAAAGCCTGGGGGCATGGGGCTGGCTGGCGCAAGAGCGTGAGGTCAACAGTCTTGGTCAGCTGTGGCCAGCAGGAGGGGCCGTGCCTCAGGCTCTCGCGGCCAGGCCGGGCCGGGGCTGGGCACACACTGGCGCCTGGCCGACGGCAGACAAGTCAGCGGCCACAGGCCACACATGTAGACCCAATGAGTACATTCATGGGCCGGTGTCGAAAGAACAGACGGACGCCACAGAAGTCCCCTCGCTTGGCGAGCCTGGGAACGAGTCCATCAGCAGCATTTGCAGAGTGCCAGCTGTGTGCAGGTACCTTGGAGCTGAACCAGAACGGAACTGAACTTAAATGACAGGAATTCGACTGAAGCATGATCTAACCGGGGTGGGAGGGGTGGGGGCGCCCTGAGCCGCAACCCACCCGGTGTGCAGGCTCTCGGGCTGCAGCTTCCTCGCCGAGGGGCAGCCACGCAACGGCCCATGAGGGTGCAGCCCATGCGTTTTGGTCCAGCAGGGCCTTACGTGCCACCAGGCCGCCTCCCAGAGGGTTGGCCAAAGCCGGGCCGTCAGTCTGGGGCGACCGGAACAACAGACATGCGTCCCCTGAGTCAGGTGCCGGCAGGTGGGCCCCTCCGGAGGCTCCGGGCCTCTCCCCTTGGCTGGTGGAGGGCCGGCGCCCCTCTGTGTGCTTCCAGGTCCTGATTTCCCTTTTTATAAGGACGCCAGTCATTTTGGATTGGGGCCCACTGTCATGACCTCATCTGAATGGGATTCTGTCTGCAAAGAAGATCCTGTTTCCAAAGGTCACGTTTTGAGGTCCTGGGGGCTAGGACTCCAACAGATCATTGTGGGTCCCAGTTCAGCCCATCCCCACAAGAGTCCCCGGTGGCGGTCACGTTGGACTTCCTGATGGGGACGGGCGCGGTCTCCTTGGGACTCTGAGGGGTTTGCGGGGCAGCTCAGTCCAGAGATTTCTGCCAGCACTGGCCCCAGAGCGCCGGGCCAAGCAGCCCTTAGGGACAGAGGCGACGCCGGCCGAGCCCCAAGCTGTGGGGGATGTGTGCTCACGCGGCAGAGAAGCAGACAAGCGTCCTCTGGGGGCCCTGCAGGGTGCCTCTGGGGAGGGGCCAGGGCGGGTGTGCCAGGCAGGGCAGGTGTGTTCCGCATGGAGGGAACAGCATGGGCTGGGCTCGAGAGGCTGGGAGGGCAGGACTCTGGGTGGAGAGCTTGCTTCAGGAGGGGTGTGGTGGCCGTGAGACTGGCCGGGGGGGGGGGGGGGGGGTCCGGCCCCGCTGCGGAGGCCTTGAGGGCCCAGGGTCCTGGGGCGGTGGTGGTCCTTGACCTTGGGTGGAAAGGCACCTCAGCAGCTTCCGACCTGCCCGCCTTGGCACCTGCTCGGGGGGGCTGGCACCACCGTGGTGAGGTGCTCCCTCAGGGTCTGGGCAAAGCAAGCGCCCGCCCCCCCCCCCCACCGAATCCGCCAGGCGCGCCGTTGCCCCCCCTCCCCGCAGCAGATGCAGGGGGCCGGGGGCCTCCTTAGCCCACGTGTTTGCAGACAAAACAGAACTTGTTATCCTGCCCTCCCACCACCGGGGCATCTTGCTGAGGATGCGGCGGTGTGGGTCAGTGACCCAGGGCAGGTCTGGAAAAGAGATTGAACTTTCAAAGGGTTGGGCTGGGGGAGGGAGAGGACCCCTGCAGATGGAGGGCCCGGCCTGCCGAGAGCCCCCTGGGCCACGGTTGGAGCCGGGCCACTCCGCGTGCCGTGGACACTGGTGGGACAGACCCAGGGTGACCTGCGTGTGGCCGCGCTGAGGAAGCAGGAGGGTGCCGCGCCCGCCCCTGCTGCCCCTCTGGCCATTTGTCCACCTGCAGACAGAGCTGCCGCCATCTTGTCCTGTGCACAAAAGCACCGTCTGTGCTCATGGGGTGGTCTTAGCATCTGGAACACGTTACCTGGGAGGTGGTCTGAGCAGATGGTGCGATCTCCCTGAAGCTGGGCAGGGTGACGGACGCGAGGCTGGAGGCCGGGGGGGGCCTCCTCAGAGGGAGGTGGGCACACGGCAGCCCCATCCCCTCCCCACCGTGTGGCCTCAGGCCAAGGCCGCCACGCCCCGCCACAGCCAGGCCCCCCAGTTCGCATTGGAAGCTGCTCTCCTCCTCCCAGATGGGGACGCTGAGGCCCGAGGCGGGGCCCCCCCCAGGGTCGCATAGCACAGCCTGGCTGGGTCGGGACACGGCTCCTGCCTAAGCCCTTTCCCATGCTGCAGGGCTTCCAGAACCATCCAACGCACACTGAAGGGGCTGAGCTGCTGTGGAGGCCCCGCCGATGGGTGTTTGAGGGGCCTGTGTCGGGACAGGCGCCTGCCGGCCCAGTTGTGTTTTCTGCTCCTAGCCGGCGGGCTGAGGTGTGCCGTGTTGGGTGGGGGCACCGAGTCCCTTCCAGGCTGGGCCTGGCACTTCGGACATCCGGCACCCCCAAGGTCAAGTGTGTGGGGGGGGGCTGACCAGTGGGCAGCGTGGGGCTACGACCCCCACTGCCTTTTATGCCCACCCCCTGGTCTCACCCCTGGGACATGGGCCCCCCGTGACCCATGAGGCCATGAGCTTCTGGGAGTTTGGAAGCAGACCACTTGGACGTGTCCCCGGCTGCACTGCCCAGGCTGGTGTCTTTGTCTTGACAGAGGTGGCTGTGGGAGGACAGGCCCCTGCAGTGGGTCCTGGCTTGGCCGTGGCCCTTCCCCACCCCGTGGGGACCCGCTGCCCAGAGCCCGTGCCTGAGCCTGGCAGCGGGGGGTAAGGGCTCAGCCTCTGCAGGGCACCAGAGGTGAGGGCCATGGCTGCGGGCGCCGATGGTCTCCGGGGTGCCGGCGGGCGCTGCTGAGCCCGGAGCAGGGCCGGCTCCACCCACTCGTGGCTGCCGAGTGACCTCGTGCCTTCACGGCTGCCACCCCCGGCCTCGGTCTCCCTCCCTGAGCTGCTTTGGACGCCTGCATTTTTCTCTTCCAGAGACTTTGACGCTCTCAGGAAGGAAGACATTTATGAGAACAACAAACTGGTGAGTGCCCCTGCTCCTGCCTGCTCGCTGGCGTCACCCAGGTCCCAGGTTCCCTCGGGCACCACCAGGGCAGTCGCGGGAGGGGCCGGCCCCGCAGGTGAGCACCTGGCGGCCAGAGACGCGCTGCTGAGCTCCGCAGCCTGTCCTGAGCCGGGTGACCCAAGCCCAGGTATAGCCTCTGGTCCGGCGCCGGCGCCCTCCTGGGCCCCTTCTTCCTGTCGGGGAAGGACGGGTCGGGAGTGGCTGGGCCTCGGTTCCCATCCAAGGCAGAGCGGGGACCAGAGGTGGTTCTGGGAGGACCAGTCCTGGGATGAACACATGGGGACAGTGCAGCAGAGCTGTGTGCGGTCGTCCTGAGGGGACAGGGCAGGCCTCGCCCAGGAAAGATGGAGCCGCCTGGGCACTTCTGGGAGGGGCGAGCCTGGTGGGGGGCTGCCGGCACAAGGGCGCTGGGCTGGAGGGTACCTGGCTGGTAGGAGAAACAGCAAGGGGGTCGCAGCTGGAGCAAAGTAGGGGTGCGGCCGGAGCAGAGTGGGGGCAGCGGGAGCAGAGTGGGGGCCTAGGGGGAACAGTGGGGGCACGGCCGGAGAAGAGTGGGGGTGCGGAGGGAACAGAGTAGGGGTGTGGCCGGAGCAGAGTGGGGCGGCAGGAGCAGAGTGGGGGCGGCGGGAGCAGAGTGGGGGCGGCGGGAGCAGAGTGGGGGCGGCCGGAACAGAGTGGGGGCGGCGGGAGCAGAGTGAGGGCAGGCCGGGCGTGGGAAGCGCTTGGCCTGCTCTCCGAGGGTTGCTGTGCTGGGAGTGCTCCAGGTCCACAGGATCTATGTTGACAGCAGAGTGGGGGGCTAGGGGATGATGGTGGCAGCAGGAAGAGTCAGATTCTGGATGTGTTTTGAAGGGGAGTCAAAGGAGATTCGAGGCCTTTGGCCTGAGCATGGCGGGAAGGTCACCCCTGGAACCCCGTTTTAGACACATGAAGACTGAGGTGTCCCCCTCAGACGTGGTGTGGGCATCTCAGCAATTTAGGGGAAGGGTGCAGATGGGGACTTGAGGATCGTCAGGTGAGGGACAGGCATTGGCAGGCAGGCGGCACCAGGCTGGCCACGGCAGGGACTGGCTCCCCAGCTCCTTCAACCCTGTGTGGCCAGGATATGGTCCCTGTTGTACAGACTGGGAAACTGAGGCTCAGGGAGGTCATGCAGCCTGAGCAGAGCTCAAATCTTGAACCCAGAGCAGAGCGCAAACCTTGAACCCAGACCTTTCTGGGCCTGAGCGGGTTTCTGGCCTCCTTCCTGGCGGAGAAGGAGGAAGGGGTGTCCCCAAGCCCACCCATGCTGACCACTCCCCCAGGCCTTCCGTGTGGCCGAGGAGAAGCTGGGCATCCCAGCCCTGCTGGACGCTGAGGACATGGTGGCCCTGAAGGTGCCAGACCGGCTGAGCATCCTGACCTACGTGTCCCAGTACTATAACTACTTCCACGGACGCTCCCCCAGTGAGTCTCTGCATGACCTCTGCATGGCCTGCCCTCTCAGGCCTCCGCGACGCCCCCCACCAGCTTAACAGCAGTTTTTAGCGCTGCCCGGCAGGGCAGGAAGCAGGCAGGGAGGCCCTTCTGGTGCCACATGTGCGGGGCTCCCTGAGCTGTGGCCTCCTCCCCGGGGGAGCAGGCCCCCCCAAAGCTGCTGCAAGGGATGAGCACGGGTCCAGACCCTGCGGGCCCCACGCCACCTGTCCACCGAATGGGTGCGCCCAGATCTTGCCTCTCCTTACACTCTTGGCCTCAGTTTGCCCATCCGCACCCCTCGAGCCTATGCCCACAACTCTTGCCTCAGGCAGCTTTGCAGACCCCGTGTGGGCTCCCTGGCCTGGCTCCAGAGGGCCCCCCACCCCGTTTGGTCCTGACATTTGGCCTTATAGACACCAGGCTGGCCCTAGCGGGGTGGGGCCTCCAGGCAGGGCAGGTGGGTTGGGGACAGGCCCAAGGACTTTATTCTGGCTGCTCTGTGCACCCCGAAGCTCAGCCACTTCCCCTCCCCCCCACATTCCTCATCCAGGCCTTAGAAATCCCCGGAATCACTCTGGGCACAGCACCAGCCCCGCCTTGATATTTCCACTTTGTGGAGAAACAGAAAAGTTCCACTTCCCTGGCCCCACATCGGGGCTCTCAGAGCCGGAGGGGAGGGGTGTGTATGAGGTCAGGCCCCTGCTGGGAATGTGCGCCTGTGGCCGCTCCCAGCGGCCCCTCCCGTGTCCCCGGACAGCAGGAGCCGCCCCTCCCCATAGCCCTGGGCTCCTGCGGGGGACCCGGGCCAGGGGTGGCCCCAGATGCTTTCAGAGCCTGACCCTACCTGTCTCGTGCCAGTTGGGGGCATGGCTGGTATCAAGAGACCCCCGTCAGACTCCAGTGAGGAACCGTCCGGGAAGAAGGCCCCATCCCAGCTGGCCAGGCCCTCACCCACTCCAGCCCAGGGGCAGCCACTGTCTCCAACCAGCACAGACCCCGCCGTCCAGTGGAAGGACAGAAGCTCAGGGGGCCTCCTGCTGAAGACCGTAAGCACCCTAGCCCCGCCTTCCCTCCGGCCTTGGGACCGAGTGTGACCTCTGCACCACCTGGGATGGGGGTCCCCTTGGCTCCCAGGCACGGCCTCAGCCGCCGTTCATGAGTATCGGCTTCACGGGCTCCTTCAATTCTGCACGGTTCGGATAGGATCCCCATCGTACAGATAGGTAACTGAGGCCCAGGGAGGTGGTGCAGGCCGAGCAGAGCTGGGACCCTGAACCCAGACTTTTCTGGCCTCCTGCCCCTCCCTTCTGGGTGCACCAGGGGAGAATCCTGAGTGTGTCCTTCCCACCTGCTGGGGGCGTTAGGGTACCCCCACTTTCAGGGGGGGGTGGAGACGGGTGATATGCTGGGGTCGGGCGCCCCCTGCTGGTCCAGCGTGGGGAGCTAACCTTGGCCTGGCGTTAGGACTGCTGCCCCTCAGGTGGCCCCAGGAGCGCGGGTATCTGTCCCCGGTGCCCCCAGACCCCCGAGGTCAGGTCCCTGGCCCCTCTCCTGGGGCTGGGCTGCAGACCCTGAACTTGGAGTCCAGCCAGCCTGGGCACGGGCCCTCCTGGCTGCGCCTGGCAGGCTGCTCCCCTCAGGACCTTGGTTTCCTGGTCTGTAAAGGGGGATCTTTTCGCCCGCTGATGGGGCGGCTGTCAGGAGGGAGGCCTGTGGGGGGGCGGGGCTCAGAAATGGCAGCTGGCACCCTTCCCAAGGGCCAGGCCTCCGCGAGCAGCTCCGTCAGCAGCACCTGTGGGGTCTGCAGCAAGCACGTGCACCTCGTGCAGCGACACTTGGCTGACGGGAAGCTCTACCACCGGAGCTGCTTCAGGTGGGGCGTGTGTGTGTGTGCACCTGTGTGTGTGTGCACGTGCCCTTGTGTGTGTGCGTGCCCTTGTGCACCTTTGCAAGTATGCATGTGAGCCCGTGCACCCCTGTGTGCAAGTGCATGTGCCTGTGTGTGCATGCATGTGCACATGAGTGTGCACCTGTGTGTGTGCACGTGTGTGTGCGTGCCCTTGTGCACGTTTGCAAGTATGCATGTGAGTCCGTGTACCCGTGTGCAAGTGCGTGTGCCTGTGTGTGTGCACCTCTGTGCGCGTGCCCTTGTGCACGTTTGCAAGTATGCAAGTGAGCCCGTGCATCTGTGTGCAAGTGCGTGTGCCTGTGTGTGCATGCATGTGCACATGCCCGTGCATGAGTGTGCACGTGTGTGTGCGTGTGCCCTTGTGCACGTTTGCAAGTATGCATGTGAGCCCGTGCACCTGTGTGCAAGTGCGTGTGCCTGTGTGTGCATGCATGTGCATGAGTGTGCACTGTGTGTGCATGTGCACGTGTGTGTGCGCGTGCCCTTGCGCACGTTTGCAAGTATGCATGTGAGCCCGTGCACCCCTGTGCAAGTGCGTGTGCCTGTGTGTGTGCATGTGCACATGCCCGTGCATGAGTGTGCACGTGTGTGCACCTGTGTGCGCGTGCCCTTGTGCACGTTTGCAAGTATGCATGTGAGCCCGTGCACCTCTGTGCAAGTGCATGTGCCTGTGTGTGTGCATGCATGTGCACATGCCTGTGCCTGAGTGTGCATGCATGTGTGCATGTGCACGTGTGTGTGCGTGTGCCCTTGTGCACGTTTGCAAGTATGCATGTGAGCCCGTGCACCCCTGTGTGCAAGTGCGTGTGCCTGTGTGTGCATGCATGTGCACATGCCCGTGCATGAGTGTGCACGTGTGTGCGCACCTGTGTGTGCATGTGCACGTATGTGTGTGCGTGCCCTTGTGCACATTTGCAAGTATGCATGTGAGCCCGTGCACCCCTGTGTGCAAGTGCGTGTGCCTGTGTGTGTGCATGCATGTGCACATGCCCGTGCATGAGTGTGCACCTGTGTGTGCACGTGTGTGTGCGTGCCCTTGTGCACGTTTGCAAGTATGCAAGTGAGTCCGTGTACCCCTGTGTGTGTGCATGCATGTGCACATGCCCGTGCATGAGTGTGCACGTGTGTGCACCTGTGTGTGCATATGCACATTGTGTGCACGTGCCCTTCCGCACGTTTGCAAGTATGCATGTGAGCCCGTGCACCTGCGTGTGCAAGTGCATGTGCATGCATGTGTGCATGAGTGTGCACGTGTGTGTGTGTATGTGCCCTTGCGTGAGTGTGCACCTGTGTGCATGTGCTGACAGGTACAGACACTGGGTGTCTGCGCCCCAATAAGGTCTTTGTGGAGTCTTACTCAAAATGGCTGATGACAGTGAGGAGAGGTGTTTTTTGAGTGAGTCGACCGCCACACGTGTAGACACAGGGCTGCACGAGTGTGTGTGCCTGGGAGTGTGAGTGAATGGGGAGTGCACACCAGCCTGGAGCGCCCTCACGGGTCTTCCTCTGCCCTGCACCAGGTGTAAGCAATGCTCCAACACGCTGCACTCTGGGGCCTACAGGCCCACCAGCGAGCCCGGTGTCTTCGTATGTTCCAGCCACCACCCCGAGGCTGCCTCTGCAAGCTCCACGTGGTGGGGCCCGGCCCCCCAACAACCAGGGGCCGTGCCGTCAGACTCCAAGCTGCCCAGTGCCCCATGGAAGGCCCAGGAGGCAAATGGGCTCCGAGACACAGGGCCAAAGGTCAGGCCAGAGGCCCGGGAGCCGGTGGTGAGCAACTCAGCTGCCAAAGGTGTTCCCACCCCAGCTGACCCTCCGGCCACCGCCGCCTCCCATGTCCACGCGGGGAGTCCGGCCGGGCCCAGGTTCTCGGCGGTCCTCCAGGGTGGCAAAGCCAGCATGCGTGTGGCCAACAGCTCCCCAGCAGGCTGGTCATCGCTGGTCGGGGAGACGGCAGCAGTCAGCCCCCGTCCTGCTCTGACACCGAGTGCCCCGGACTCTCGCCCGGCCACCCTCCAGGGCCGGGCGACCCCCCAAGCAGCAGCCCCCCAGACCAAGGTCAGTGTGGGCCCAGCGTCTCCAGGCCCAGCAGACACCCCAGGCTGGACCCCGTCAGCCTCCAAGATCCAGCAGGCCCGGGAGAGGTTCTTCCAGACTCCTGGAGCTGCCCCCAGCCCTGGCCCAGCTGGCGGGGCCCCAGCTCCTGCGGATGCACCTTCTGGGGACAGCAGCAGGGAGCAGGCGCTGAGCTGCCTCCTGAAGGCCCTTCCCAGGCTCGGGGACACCGGTGCCCGGGCGCCTGGCAGGTGGGTGGGGGGGTGCGCGGGGTCGGGGGCAGCTGAGGAGGCTCCCCAGCCTCAGCTTCCTCATCTGGGAATTGGAAATGAGACGGGACCCAGAGTGCCCGGTGGTCAGCAGGAGGGGACGCTGTTGTCACATGAAGCTGTGGTGGACACACTCTCGGGGGCACGGATGCTGGTCCCTGGGGCCGCTATGCGGCACACAGAGGGTACCCGTTTTATAGATGGGGAACCAGGGGCTGGGAGAGGTCCCAGTGTCCTCCGGTTTGACCCAGGCGGAGCTCATCCCCCCAGTCCTATGTGGCAGTGCCTGCCCAGTGCCCTCGGCACGCTGGACTTGGAGCGGGCCCTGAGGGGTGGAGGGTCCCTGCAGCAGTGTGCTAAGGCTGCTGGGACAGAGCACCACACACTGGCGGCTTCACTGACAGAACATTGTTCTCTCCCAGTTCTGGAGGCCAGAAGGCCAAACACGAGGTGGGCAGGGCCGCACTCCCTCCGAGGGCGCTCGGGGAGGGTCCTTCCCGCCTCGTCCAGCTCCTGGTGGCCCCACGTTCCTTGCTTGGGGTCACACCCTCCATCTCGGCTTCCAGGGTCACCTGAATTTCTCTCTGTGTCTGTGTTCTCTACTCTTCTGTCTCTTACAAGGACACCCGTGACTGGACTTAGGGCCACCCTAATCCAGGATGACTTCATCTGTACTTGATTACGTCTGCAAAGACCCTATTTCCAAATGAGGCCATGCTCTGGGCTTCCGAGTCGACGTGAATTTGGGGGGTGGGGAACACCATTCACCATACTACAGTGGCCCATGAGTAAGGAGATAGCACACCAGGCTGGCTGACGATGCTGTGCCCGCTGCCTCGTGCGGTCCCTTATTTTGGGGGAGCATTCTGGCTTAGAGCTGCTCCGCCTGGCTGGATCAGCTGGTGGTGCCCCGGGAGAACGAGCCTGCCCTGCCACTCCAGGCCTGGGGGTGTACCGGGCACCCGGGGGCTGATGCCGCGTGGCTGTGAGGGCTCTCGGGACGCCCAGCGGGATGTCTGCCCCGGGGCGGGGAGCTGCTCCTCCTGGTCTCTGTGTACCCAGACAGCCGGGAAAAGCAGGAGGGAGAGATTGGTTTCCTAGGGAGCATGGGGCACATGGAGGAGCTACTCTGGCTTGGAGAGGTCCCAGCCCCCTGCCCTGGGCCCTGCTGGGAGCCGGTGGCCCTGCTTCCTGCACGCATGTGCACGCAAGAGGATGCCGGATGGCCGGTGTTGGGCTGCCTGTGTGGAGGCCTCACGCATGCTGCTTAGATGGGGCTAGGCAGGCCCCGGCTCTGGGCGGGGCTTCCACAGTAAATCCCAGGTGCTTCTGGGCAGGTGGATGGAAGAGGGAGGGGCTGTGGGTGTAGCCCCTCCCCACACCCCATGCATGGTGTGTTTTGGGGGCATTTTAATCTCAGCCCATGGCAGAGTTATACGGGAAGGTAAAGTCAGGTGCCATATACATCTGTGCTGGAAGAGGGTGCCCGTGGCCTGTCCCTTGGAGGGGCTGTCTGTCTCCCTCAGGAGGGTGGATGTTAAGAATCAGCTGCCAGGGGAGGCTGAGGGGCTTCTGCCTGGGGGTCATGGTGGGAAGGGTTCCTGGGTCCACCTGTGCCTGATGCCTATGGTCTTGCCCGCAGGCCCTCCCCTGCTCTGAAATCCCATACCAGAACCGAAGGGCCACAAGCAAGTCCATCAGCCAAGCTGTCACAGATGGTATCCCCCCGGGCCCTTAACCCCCCTGCGAGGACTGAGCTGCCAGCCCCGCTGAGAGTGGGCACCACCTCACGGGCATCCACATCACCCCAGGGGGGCAGGAAGAGCCCACCTGTATCCTCAGGGGCCAGCTGGGCAGGTGCCACCTCCAAGCTGAAGCCAGAGGCCCCACTGGCAAAGGGTGAGAGCTCCCTTGGAGCAGGGGTGGGGTGGGGAGCGGGGCTCAGGGTGCAGGGGGTGGCCGCTCTGCTCCTTGGCCTGTGGTTCTGCAGTGCTTTGCCGGTTCCTGCCCAGCCCCCGGGCTCGCCAGCACTGGGTGCCTGTCCTTCTGTGTCACCTGCGTCACACCACCCCTGGTCCTCGCTCTCTCCCCAGTCTGCCTGACTTCAGTTTTGGGGTGGCAGATGTCTCTTGGGGTGGCGCAGCTTTATGGTCACTGTTTGCCACCCGCCTGCCCTGCCAGCCCTTCTTGCTGAGGCCTCGTGACCCCGGTTGTTAGTGTCACTGTCCGTGGGGACGATGCCAGGGCATCCGTTACTCCTCTCCTGCTTTGCCCTGGTCGCGGCCTCACCCCCTCTCCCCTGGCATCTTGCATCCACGGTTCCTGTGTGTCTGTTCTTCCTGCTCTGTCCTAATGATGGTACCCCAGGGCTCCTCGTGTCCTGTAGCCCCCTGGGCCTGGGCCCCTCCTGGAGTCCCCTCCGACCGCTTACTACTGTTTCGTGGCCTCGTGTTCCAGGCATTGTTATGTACACTTTTCGGGGTAATTGTGAAATAGGCTTTATCTGGGCACCCGGGTGTCTCGTAGGGGTGCCCTGGTGTTACTGAGCTGGGCTCAGAGAATACCCCATGCAGAGTGTTTTACCAAGATCTTTCCCTTGGCTGAGCCCCTGCCACAAAAGCTGCTCTGTTCTGAGCCAAGGAGGCCTGCAGATGGGCTGTCCTGGCTTAGCCATCCATCCCACAGACACACAGGCACTCAGCATCCACGGGGCTCACCTGGCCTCACCCTCACCGTCTGGCAGCAGGGGAAGTCGAGGCCCAGAGAGGGGAGCGATTCCGCCGGGCACACACAGCGCAGGCTTGAAGTCCTCAGCCCACCCCGAGCCCGACTCTTTCCCGTGGGCCGGGCTGGCTATCTGGGTATTTGAGAGGAGCTGGCTGCAGGAAGTTGGGGTGGGGGCGGGTGAGATCCAGTCTTTCCCAGCAGACCCCTCTACCTGGAGCACCTCCCATGACCTGTGTTCCTGCCCCCCACCTAGGTGCGAGTGCCAGCCCCCAGGAAGGCCAGGAGGATGGGCCGGCAGGATGGAGGGCCCGCCTGAAGCCTGTGGAGAAGAAAAGCCCTGCTGAGAGGTGAGGGGAGGGAGGCAGGGCTCTGGGGGGGCTCCCCTGGACCTGCACCTGGGCCTGTGGCTTTGTGCTCATGGAGTCTGAGGATTAGCACAGGGTCAGGCATACAGTAGGTGCTCACCAGATGCTTACAGGTGAATAATGGCACACACATGGACTGACTGACACACCCATGGGGGGGAATGTGTGCACATCTGCTCGGACATTTCAGCAGTAGTAGCAGAAACCAGTTCACACCAACCTGAGTGACGGGGGGCAGTCACACTGGCCTGAGTGACAGGGGGCAGTTCACACCGGCCTGAGTGATGGGGGGTAGTCACACCACCTGAGTGACGGGGGGACAGTCACACCGGCCTGAGTGACAGGGGGTCAGTCACACCAGCCTGAGTGACAGGGGCAATTCACACTGGCCTGAGTGATGGGAGGCAGTCACACTACCTGAGTGACGGGGGGACAGTCACACTGGCCTGAGTGATGGGAGGCAGTCACACTACCTGAGTGACAGGGGCAGTTCACACTGGCCTGAGTGATGGGAGGGGGGGCAGTCACACTAGCCTGAGTGATGGGAGGGCAGTCACACTACCTGAGTGACAGGGGGCAGTCACACCGGCTTGAGTGACGGGAGGGGCAGTCACACCACCTGAGTGATGGGGGACAGTCACATCGGCCTGAGTGATGGGAGGCAGTCACACTACCTGAGTGACAGGGGGCAGTCACACCACCTGAGTGATGGGCAGTTCACACCGGCCAGAGTGACGGGGGGACAATCACACAGGCCTGAGTGACGGGGGGGCAGTCACGCCACCTGAGTGAGTGACCGGGGGCAGTCACACCACCTGAGTGAGTGATGGGGGCAGTCACACCGCCTGAGTGAGTGACGGGGGGCAGTCATACCGCCTGAATGACGGGGGGCAGTCACACTGCCTGAGTGAGTGATGGGGGCAGTCACACCACCTGAGTGAGTGACGGGGGGTCAGTCATACCGCCTGAGTGACAGGGGGCAGTCACACCGCCTGAGCGAGTGACGGGGGGCAGTCACACCGCCTGAGTGAGTGACGGGGGGTCAGTCACACCGCCCGAGTGACGAGGGGCAGTCACACCGCCTGAGTGAGTGACGGGGGGTCAGTCGCACCGCCTGAGTGAGTGACGGGGGTCAGTCGCACCGCCTGAGTGAGTGACGGGGGGACAGTCGCACCGCCTGAGTGAGTGACGGGGGCCAGTCTCACCGCCTGAGTGAGTGACGGGGGGCAGTCGCACCGCCTGAGTGAGTGACGGGGGGGCAGTCGCACCCCCTGAGTGACGGGGGGCAGTCGCACCGCCTGAGTGAGTAATGGGGGGTCAGTCGCACCGCCTGAGTGACGGGGGGTCAGTCGCACCGCCTGAGTGAGTGACGGGGGTCAGTCGCACCGCCTGAGTGAGTGATGGGGGGTCAGTCGCACCGCCTGAGTGACGGGGGGCAGTCACAACGCCTGAGTGACGGGGGGGCAGTCACACCGCCTGAGTGAGTGACGGGGTCAGTCGCACCGCCTGAATGAGTGATGGGGGGTCAGTCGCACCACCTGAGTGACGGGGGGCCAGTCGCACCGCCTGAGTGAGTGACGGGGGTCAGTCGCACCGCCTGAGTGACGGGGGGCCAGTCGCACCGCCTGAGTGAGTGACGGGGGCCAGTCGCACCGCCTGAGTGAGTGACGGGGGTCAGTCGCACCGCCTGAGTGAGTGACGGGGGGGCAGTCGCACCGCCTGAGTGAGTGACGGGGGGCAGTCGCACCGCCTGAGTGAGTGACGGGGGGCAGTCGCACCGCCTGAGTGAGTGACGGGGGGGCAGTCACACCGCCTGAGTGATGGGGGGGCAGTCACACCGCCTGAGTGAGTGATGGGGGTCCAGTTGCACCGCCTGAGTGACAGGGGACAGTCACACCACCTGAGTGAGTGATGGGGGCCAGTCGCACCACCTGAGTGAGTGACGGGGGGGCAGTCACACCACCTGAGTGAGTGACGGGGGGGCAGTCACACCGCCTGAGTGACGAGGGGGCAGTCACACCGCCTGAGTGACGGGGGGGCAGTCGCACCGCCTGAGTGAGTGATGGGGGGTCAGTCGCACCGCCTGAGTGACGGGGGGTCAGTCACACCGCCTGAGTGAGTGACGGGGTCAGTCGCACCGCCTGAGTGAGTAATGGGGGCTCAGTCGCACCGCCTGAGTGACGGGGGGGCAGTCACACCGCCTGAGTGAGTGACGGGGGTCAGTCACACCGCCTGAGTGAGTGACGGGGTCAGTCGCACCGCCTGAGTTAGTGATGGGGGGCCAGTCGCACCGCCTGAGTGAGTGACGGGGGGGCAGTCACACCGCCTGAGTGAGTGACGGGGGGGCAGTCACACCGCCTGAGTGACGGGGGGGCAGTCACACCGCCTGAGTGAGTGATGGGGGGTCAGTCGCACCGCCTGAGTGACGGGGGGTCAGTCACACCGCCTGAGTGAGTGACGGGGTCAGTCGCACCGCCTGAGTGAGTAATGGGGGCTCAGTCGCACCGCCTGAGTGACGGGGGGGCAGTCACACCGCCTGAGTGAGTGACGGGGGTCAGTCACACCGCCTGAGTGAGTGACGGGGTCAGTCGCACCGCCTGAGTTAGTGATGGGGGGTCAGTCGCACCGCCTGAGTGACAGGGGGTCAGTCACACCGCCTGAGTGAGTGACGGGGGCCAGTCGCACCGCCTGAGTGAGTGACGGGGGGGCAGTCACACCGCCTGAGTGAGTGACTGGGGGGCAGTCACACCGCCTGAGTGACGGGGGGGCAGTCACACCGCTTGAGTGAGTGACGGGGGGCAGTCACACCACCTGAGTGAGTGACGGGGGGGCAGTCACACCGCCTGAGTGATGGGGGGGCAGTCACACCGCCTGAGTGAGTGATGGGGGGTCAGTCACAGCGCCTGAGTGACAGGGGACAGTCACACCGCCTGAGTGAGTGACGGGGGTCAGTCGCACCGCCTGAGTGAGTGACGGGGGGCAGTCGCACCACCTGAGTGAGTGACGGGGGGGCAGTCACACTGCCTGAGTGACGGGGGGGCAGTCACACCACCTGAGTGAGTGATGGGGGGTCAGTCACACCACCTGAGTGATGGGGGGGCAATCACACCAGCCGCCCTGTGTGCACCGTAGCAGTGCATGGCCGGGGGCGGGCAGCGGACGTGGTCCTGCACCAGCTGTGAGGACCTGAGCTGGTGCTCACACCCACAGAGGTGAGCACTCACGGGAACACACACCTGTGTTGTAGGAGGGTCACCGCCGGTCAGGCACCATGAGCTCCTTCCCTGCCTCAGGTTGTCTGCACCTGGGTGTGGGGGCAGCCCGTCCTTCCCTCAGCTGACCTCCTGCCCTCTGTCTAGGGTCCTGGCAGAGCCTCGGATGGGTGAGGCACCTGGGAAGGTCCGTGGGAGCTCCGAGGGGCCTGTCCACGTCCCCCCGACCCCTCTTCGGCCTGACAGGACAGCGGGCGCGGCTAGCCCCGGGCCCAGCCCCTCGGGTAATGCTGGGTGGGAACCCGGGGGCTCCAGATGCCCAGCCCGGGAACGCGGCCCCGTGGTGCTGGAGGGGCTGGTGTCTGGGGTGGCAGCCTGGGCGTGAGTGTGGGTGCATGAGTGTGCCTTTACACTTGCATGTGCGTGTGAGTGCCACCCCCGGACCCATGTCCAGCCCTCACGTCACTTCCTGCGTGGCCTTGAGCCGGTCTCCGGCCCACTGGACTCGTTTGCCCCTGTGTTGTCGAGGATGCAGACGCTGGCCTTCCCTGGGCGGACGTGGGCACGGGGCTGTGAGGACTGACCCTGTGCTGGCCGGTGGCCCCCACTCAGGGAAGCAGTTGGGGGGAGGACACCAGATCTGCCAGCTTGACATGTGGCCCTGTCCCCTGCCCCTGGGCAGCCGCCTCCCCGTCCCCGTCCCCATCCCGCCGCAGGAAGCTGGCCGTCTCTGCCAGCCTGGACGTTTCTGCCAACTGGCTTCGTTCTGAGCCCTCGGGGCAGGAAGTCCCAGCCCAGAGCTGGAAGGAAGAGGAGAAAGGGAAGCTCTCTGCTCAGGGCAAACCAGGTCAGCCCCGAGACCCCAGCCCCCATTTCTAGCTGGGCTGGAGACGAAGGGGCTCATCTGAGGAGGGGGCGTCTGGTGGGGTTTGCAGGAGGATGAGGAGCTTATGGGGCTCAGAGCGGAGGGAAGGCACGCAGGGGAGCACCCGTGGGTGGCCAGGCTTGGCTTGGGCTGGGGCGGGGGACCTGGAGGACCCCATCCCTGAACCCTTGCTCACCAGTAGGGAAGGGAGGACCGGACAGGGTTCCCTGCTCCTATCTACCTGGTGATGGTGGAGTGTTTGCTCTTGGGGTGCCCGGGCTGCTGACGGGGGGCATGGAGGCCGGTGGGAATGGTGCCTGGATCTGTCTGTGAGCTTTGGCTTTGGGCACCAGTGGGGCACTGCTGGGAGGGGGCAGGGCTGCCGGGCAGGTGGGGTGGGATCGGCGCAGCTTTGGGCCTGATGCCCCCAGGCCCAGGAGACTCGTCTCGCCTTCAGCAGGGAGGCCCTTGGGCTCGGCTGGTGTCCCCGCTCCACCCGGCAAGGCAGTGACCAACCGTGCCAGGGTGAGTAGGCCAGGGTGCAGGTGTGCTGGGAGCGCAGCCCTCTGGGGCATGGCCCGGCATCTCCCATGGCCCCTCACCGGCCCTTCGTCCCCAGCTGCACCCTGACTACATGTCCCCGGAAGAGATCCAGAGGCACATGCAGAACATCGAGAGCCAGCTGGACGCCCTGGAGCTCAGGGGCGTGGAGCTGGAGAAGCGTCTTCGCGCCGCTGAGGGGGGTGAGCCGACACCCTGCCCAGTGCCCCGGCCCGGCCTCAGCCAGCTTCCCCCTGGGGCCACCCTGGCCTGACCCATCCTGGCGCCCCCTCTCCGCAGATGCCTCCGAGGACACCCTCATGGTGGAGTGGTTCCAGCTCATCCACGAGAAGCAGCTACTGCTGCGGCAGGAGTCGGAGCTGATGCACAAGTGAGGGGTCCAGCTGCTCCACCTCTGCCCGGAGGGCCCTCTCCTGGACGGCCGCCTCCTCTCGGCGCCCGCCGGGCTCAGGCATGGGGGAGGCCAGCCAGGCGGGCCGGGCCTCACGCCTGCGTCACCTCGGCAGGGCCAGGGACCAGCGCCTGGTGGAGCAGCAGTTGGACCTGGAGGGGGAGCTGCGTCAGCTGATGGCCAAGCCCAGTGCGTCCCGCCCACCCCGGGGGAACCGCGGCCGGGGGAGGGAGGCGCTCAGCCCCGGGGGTGGCGTGGGTGCGGGCTCTCCTCCCGACGGCCGCCTGGGCGGCCGCCCTTGGGAGAGGCTGACGCTTGCCCAGGGTCAAGTCTCACGTCTCCCCTCCAGGCTGTGTGTCCTTGGCCGGGGCACTCAGCCTCTCTGTGCTTGCAGAGCGGGGACTGCAGGCAGTAGGGCCTGACCAGCACGGCCTGTGGGTGTTGTGGGTGGTGGGGCTGAGGGCCTGGCAGTCCCACCTCTGCCTTCCTGCTGCGCGACGGGGCCAGTGGCGCTCGGGGTCCGATGTGGCCGTTCTTCCACTCAGTCACTCATTCATTCGTTCGTTCACCCACCCATCCACCTCTCCACCCATCCACCCGTCCATCCGTCCATCCAGCGTTGGCAGATGAGCAGACCCTGTGCCCACTGCCCCCGAGACCCTTCCCCCACCTCCGGGGACACTGTGTCCCTGAGCAGGGTGGGGCGGCAGGGCTGCCGCTGAAGGCGGGCTGTCCCTGCAGAGGGTCTGAAGTCCCTCAAGGACCAGCAGCGCGAGGAGGATCTGCTGCAGCAGTATATCAGTACGGTGGAGGACCGGAGCCACATCGTGGACTTCCTGGAGGAGGACCGCCTCAGGTGAGGGCGTGCCAGAACCCCGGCTCCCCAGGCCGGGCCTTGGCTGGTCACCTCGTGCGCAGAGCCTGTCCCCACCGTCAGCACAGGGGAGTGAGAACCCCCCGCCCCCCCGTGTGCATTCTGCAGGGGCCCTGAGGCCAAGGGCAGACCCAGCCAGGCAGCCTGCCTTAGAGGTTGTCCCGGACAAAGCCCTCGAGCCCCGTGTCCCTGACCCGTCAGGGGTCAGCACCTGCTGCTAGAACATTCCGTGATGCAAGTGGCTCACTGTGACCCATGCAACAGGGGAACGGAACGGCAGATTTTATTTTTCCTTAAATACCCCCAGCCACCTGTGTCTCCTGGAGCTGCACTGGGCCGCCGGCTTTGTGACCATCCCAGGCGTCCCTGTCCCTGTGTGTAAATGAGGGACCCGTCAAGGCCACAGGGTTTGTGGCCAAGTTTGTTGAACGGGTTAAGTGAGCTGAGAGAGCCCTGGTCCAGGTCCTCCCAGGGCCCTTGTGTCCCCGTGCCACCGACAAGTGTCTGGGCCCAGAGAGGGCAGGCACTGCCTCGGTGTCAGATGGGCTGGGGGCGCGGCTGTGAGTCCCCGCGGGCAGGCCGCTCACTGCCGCCCGGCTCCTGTTTCAGAGAGCAAGAGGAGGACGAGATGCTACAGAACATGATCCAGAGTCTGGGTAATGGGGGGGCCGGGGCAGAGGTGGGAGGGGCGGGGGCCCTAGGGCAGATGCAGCCCGAGGACAGGAAGGCTGCTTTCGGGACCCGGCTTCCTCCAGGCTCTGGGGCCCAGGGAGGGCTTCGACAGGAGGGCGGCAGGGATATATGTGGCAGGGACAGTGGCCGAGAGGTGGCGAGTGTCCTCAGTGTCCATCCCCCACCCAGACCTCCAGAAAAGCAGCGGGGACCAGAAGAAGAAGTCCAAGTTCAGCTTGTCCAGGGTCTGGTCCCTGAGGAGCAAAAGCAGGACCCCCGAGTGAGCCGCCTGGCTGGCTGCAGGACCTGTGCCCTTGGCTCGGGCAGGGTGGGCACCGTGGGAGTGGGAACATGGGGGTGGGGACCTGCACCCCTCCCCATGGGGTCTGAGCCACCACAATAAAGAAAGTGACCACGTGATGGCCTGGGCTCCCTCTCCTGTTCACCACGTGCTCCCAGGCGGCCTGGCGCCTGGCCTGGAGGTCCTGGCCAGCTTCCAGTTATGCACCGGTGTAGACGTGCCCATGGCCTTGAACAGGCTCTGACCCTCTCTGGACTGGCCCGGACCCTCTGAGGTGGGCATTGGAGCTGCTTCCTGGCCTGGCTGCACGCTGGGAGCCGGGGACAGAGCGGGTCTGTGCCAACTGCCCTCAGGAGCTGGCCCCAAGTGGGGATCTCCAAACTTGAGATCTGTGACCTTGGCCTTGGGGCGGAGGTGAGCTGTGCCCTGGGACGGAGAAGGACTCCAAGTCCCGGGCCTGGTGCCAGCAGGGCGTGGGGCTCGCCGCCCTTCCCCACGTCTGGTGGAGAGAGGGCACAGTGGGGGCAGCCAAGGCCAAAGGGGAGCAGCCTCGCCGCAGCTCACCCCGAGTCCCTGCCCTGCACTGCCCTCGCTCGGGTGCCCCGGGAGAGGAACTTCTCCTGTGGGCTTCAGTCCCCCCATTTGTTTCTGTGCTGTTTCCAGCCACTGTGGGGGCCCATTGTGGCGGTCCTGGTGGACCCTCCCCAGCGGCACATCACCAACGCCCCCCAGCCTGGTGGCAGGTGGGGTCCCTGGCTGAGTATGTTGAGGTCCCCACAGAGCTCCTGCTGCGTTTACGGGGTGCTGGGGGGTCTCAGCCGGGGACTCGGGGCCCGGGGTCAGGGTGTGATGTGGGACAGGGAGGGCGGCTGCCTGGTGCAGAGATGGGTTTGCAGTCCCCCCCCGTCTGCTGCCCGGCTCAGGCCCCGCCCTCTCTGAGCCTCTGGTGACGGACAGAGGGGCTGCGTGTGGTCATGGGAGTGTGTCTGGACCAGCGGCAGTGGCGGGGGGGCAAGGAACTCGAGGCTCCTGCTGGCCCGCCCATCGCGGCAGGACCCCCCACTGGAGAGGCGGGAGGGCCCCGTGGTGGAGGGGTTGGCCGCCAGAGCGGTCAGCGGACAGTGGGCCACGCAGGCTTGGCGTCGTTCCTGGGCGCTGGGCGCCATGGGCGCTTCTCAGCAGAGGCCCCAGGGTGAGACCTGTGTGGTGGAGGGCGGCCTGGACGGGTCTGCCCCACCGTCCCGCAGAGACCTGGGCGCCCCGCGAGGTCCGCCCAGGCATGGCCGCAGGCCCGCAGCCGCGTAGGCTCTTCACCACCAGGGGGAGGCAGAGGGCCACCCGACAGGGACGGGGCGCCGGAGACCCCGAGAAGCTGCGGTTCTCAGACAAGGAAACGGGTTCAGAGGGGCCGCGGGACCCCCTGAAGCTACACAGCAAGTTAGGTGGGGCCTGGACCTGGCCCCCGGGACACGGAGGGACGCAGGCAGGGGTTCAAGGTCTCTGGGGTGTCTCAGCCCCCTGCCCACGTGAGGGTCTGCACCGTGCTCTGGGGGCCCAGGACGTCCTGGAGCGCGGGTCACTCTGGGCACCCCGTCCCCCACAGCCCCCGCCACAGCTCACCCCTGCAACCTCCACTGATGCGGCCCAACCCCCCTCCCTCAGGCCCTGCCCTGGCTGGACCCCCCCAGATGCGGGATGTCAGGCTGTGACGGGTGAGGCTGGCTTGGCTCTTCCCGTGGACGGACGGCACCTCAGCTCCTGCGACCCCCTCCCATTCTAGAGAAGGGGCTCAAGGCCCAGAGGGGGGAAGGGTCTTCCCCAGGGTCACACAGCAGGGACAGAGGCAGGAGGAAGAGGGGGCAGGCCTGGGCAGAGCTAGCAGAGGGGGCCATGGGGGAGCACCTAGTTTCTCCACAGAAATGGGAGTGTTAGGCAGCACTCTGTCCCTTTGACAAGAGGGGAAACCGAGTCACAGAGGAGTGCCCAGGGTCATACGTCAGGAGTGGCGGGGCCTGAGTTTGGCTGCCCTTGGCCTTGACCTGGGAGGATGCAGGCAGCAGATCAGACTCCCCAGCGGCGCAGGGACCCTGTGTGGCTGGGCCCAGGCGGGAGCCACGGTCACCCCGCAAATGAAATCTGTGTGGACTTGTCTCCACACCCGTGTTTCTGGGGGTCCCGGGAGGAAAGGGCAGTGTCCTGGGTCTGAGCTGGGTTCTTCCCACCCACGCGTGTCCCTCCTGGGCCCCCCAACCCCAGAGCCAGCTGCCCCTTCATCGTGGCCACAGCCAAGGTCCTGGGGCCGGGGGCCGGGTCTGCTCACCCAGCAGCCTGCCTTGCCGGAGCTGGTGCCTCCCTTCCTCTGGCAGGTGCCTTGCTTCCCGCCTAGGACTATGCACGCCGCTGGGTCGGGGGCTCATCAAGACCCCAAAGGGGGCTTCAGGGCGTCCTGGAGCCCCAGGTACCCAGAACACTGGGCCGTGGACGCAAGTTCAGGTCATGTCCCCGGGACCCAGTAGGCTCCTAACCCACCAGCAGGGCTGTGGCCAGAGGACAGGGGTCTCGGCTCCTCCTCCTCCCAACTGTGCCACAGACCTTGCCCTCCGCATGCTGCCTCGTGCAGGCTGGGACCTCCCTCCCCTGCCTCCCGGGACCCCCGCCTGCGCGCCGGTCCACCTGGGGGTCTCCTCGCAGCCTCTCCCACCGGGCCTGGGGGTTTGGAGTCCACATTAACGAGGTCTCCCAGGTGGGCCGGAAATGCTGATGAAGACGGATAGAGCAAACGTGGCCCATTACATTGTTAATAAAGAATATCACACACACACCTTAATCTGCGGCCGGCCTGACACTTTACAAAGTACATTCGGATGTAATCCAACTGAAGCTGCAATATCGAGAACATCTTATCTTATCTCAAATTGAAATTATATCATATTCCTCTTTTCTTAAATTAAAAAGCTAAAACCTTTTCGTTTGCTTTCACACAGTTGTGTAAAACTTAATCAGTGGTTTTAACAACATTATATTTCCATACGGGCCATTTCTAACCTCATTTATTTACGAGGGAGAACTTTCTGGAAGGGGTGATTGCATCTGTGGATGGAGGCGTCAGGCGCTGGGGGCCGACCCTGGCGTCTGTGTCCAGGAGGCAGGGAGAGTGGGTTTGGGGGTTCCCAGTGTCCTGGGGCGGCCGGAACGGAGCGCCAGGCCGGGCACTTCAAACAAGCACACTTGATCATCTCCCCGTCCCGGGGCCAGAAGCCTGAGCTCAGGGGTCAGGGCCACGCTCCCTCTGAGGGCTCCGGGGGAGGGTCCCTCCTGCCTCGTCCAGCTCCTGGTGGTGATGCTGGGCTGGTGACTGCGTCACCCCAACTTCTGCCTCCGTGGCCGCATGCCCTCCTCCCTGCGTGCATGTCCACGCTCCCCCTTCTGTGAGGACACCACCCCGCTCCAGGGTGACCTCCCCTTAACCATCACACCTGCAGAGTCCCTGCTTCCGAGTAAGCTCACGTTCACGGGGACCAGGGCTAGGAATCAGAGGCAACTTTTGGGGGCACAGTGCACCCCATAATGGATAGCATAATCAGCACACTCACCGAGGCAAATGCCCGCTCTGTCAGGTGTGGGGCCCACCTGGGCTGAGCCCTGGAGGGGTGAGTTGAAGATACACCCTTGTGATGCGGGGCAGCTGTGGGTGGTGCTGCTGGGAGCCCAGTAGCCGGGCTGTCCCGTGGCGAGGGTGGCCGGACCTGAAGCATGCAGGGCTGAGGATCAGCGGCCTGGCCACCCCACAGACCTGTTTCTACCCCATGCCCCACTCCCGCCCCCCACCACATTCCCTTCTGCCTCCTCTTGTTGCAATCCCATCTGCCACTCACTTACTCACAGGGCCCTGGGCGTGCATCCCCACAGACACTGCTGCTTTTCCCTATTTTGTTCAGACGTGCCCCCCTCCCTGAGCCCAGAGAATGAATCATCCTTAGTACAAGCCAATCATGGCCATCCACATCCCTAATATAGGAGGCACCAGGGAGGCATACGCTCTTCTTTGCTGACCATCCTGGCTGCCTGGGATGCATGGTGCTGCAGCAGCCACTTTGTGACCATGAGGGGGAATATGGCTGACATGCTGAAGATGGCAGGACAGAAACATGAAGACACCTGGGTCTTTGATGACATCAGTGAGTGACTCACTGAATTAGCCAGTCCTAAAACCTCCTTATCTCTGGATTTCTTGTCTTAAGGCATATGAGTCTCCTCGGGTTGTCATAACAAAGTACCACAAACTTAGTGGCTCAACATAACAGAAACTTATTTGCTCACAGTTCCAGAGGCTAGAAGTCTGAAATCAAGGTGTCATCAAGCCTGGTTGCTTCTGAGGCTGTGAGGACAAGTGTTTCAGCCTCTCTCCCGGCTTCTGGTGGCCACTGGCAATCTTGGGTGATACTGGGCTTGTGGCCACATCACTCCCCTCTCTGCCCCGGTGGGCATGTAGCCTTCCCCCTGCATGCATGTCTGTGTCCAAATGACCCCTTTTCAGAAGGACACCAGGCACACTGGGTTAGGACCCCCCCTAATGACCTTATCTCAACTTGATCATCTGCAAAGACCCTATTTCCAAATACAGGGTTCTGGGCGCTCTGAGGTTCTGAGTGGACTCGATGTTTTGGGGGGCAGCATTCAATCCACTACATAGGGGTAACAACCCCTTTTGTGCTTAAAGTTTTTCTCAGGTTTTCTGGTATGTGTGGATGAAAGGGTCCTAGCTGTTATGGAATTTGGTTCCAGGACTGGGGGTGTGGTAAGTTATGGAAACATGGCCGGGCACTGGGCAGTGGGACCCTGCCCTTCGGGCTGGGAAGCAGATCATTGGGGGGCACCCATATCAAAGGAGACCCAGCTGACCCCAAGAGGCCCAGGGTCCCAGACCACAACTCAGAAGGTTGGGAACATGGTAGGAAAACAGAATACCAGGCTTAGTGGACTACTTTTTGTGTCTCTCGGTGTCATACAGGAGAGGAGGGGAGGGTCTCGTTGAAGGCGGCCAGTGGGAAAGCTGCAAGGAAGGGACTCTGGGATCTGCTAAGGGGCCACTTTGGTCCAAAGCCAGACTGATGGAGCATT